GCGTCGCGCCTACGCTACCGCACGCGGGCCAACGGATGTGTTGCACGCATCACCACCCCCCGATCGCCATCCACCATTGGAGCCCTTGGAGCTCGGCTATAAAAGCCAACACCCGCGAGCCCTAACCCTCAGCCCGTTTGTCGCCGCCGCTGGTGGCACAGCACCAAACCGCGTCAAGCCGAGAGAGAGGGAAGAGGAAGAAGCAAGGAGGAGAAGGAAGCCGCTGCGGAACCGGACCTCGCCGGAGCCAGGAGCGCCGCCCCGATCGGCTACAGCGACGTAGCTGCTCGGCACGGCACTGCATCGCCTCATCACGGCCTCGCCTCGCCACCGCACCGCCATCCTACCGCCACGAGCCCTACGGTGAGCCATGTCGTTCGCCGCTCACCGCGCTAGCCGTACTCGCCATGAATGCCACCGCGTTCCCACACCTAGGGGCAGAGGCGGAGCATTCCCGCTCCTGGACATGCTGCACATGCACCGCACGCACACAAGCCCAAGGCATGGCCTCACCAACCCCTATCGGCTCGGGAACACCGGCACGACCACACCTAGCCTCTCGGACGCCATGAACGGACCACGTCGGAGCACGAGCTCTTGCTCCAGCTTAGCCAACCGGTAGCATAGAAGGACCACCACGACCCTCTTGTTGAGCCAAATGAAAACACGAAGCAAAGGGAAGAAAGGGGGTGACGTCGAGCCCTCTGCTCGGGAACGCTAGCGCTGAGCGCTCTGCTCATGCCATGCATACGCATCGCATGCACGCACGCGCTCACTATGGCCAGAGCACAACCATGGCGAGACCACCGCGTCTTCTACGTCGCGGTAAAGGTGACGTTGACACCCCGACTGGCTCCGCTATGATGAGAGACACACCACGCTCACCTTAGCCAAGGATGAAGCCCACCGGAGCCCTGTGTTGCCTCATCGCACCTCGTCGGAGTGCCACCGCCTCCGCTTTACCCCGACCACCATGGTCGGAGGCGTTGAGAGCTCCCGGAGCCCCTTCGACCTGCTCGCCATGGCCGTAGCAGCGTCGGGGAGCTCGTGCGCACCACCAATCTCTGATACCGCCGCCACAGCCACCACAATGCCGCTCGCCGGTGTACGAGGACCGCCGCCATCGCGGCCAGCCAACTGGAGCCACCCGGCCATCATGTTAACTTCACCGGGGCACCCGCCATGGCAAGGCCAAGCTTTTGCCCACCTTAATTGCACACCCGCGCCGCTGGAGGGGCTCGCTGGTGAGCTCACCACCGGCGGGAGCATGCCGGGGAAAGATGGGGATTTTCCCCTCACCGCCACACGTCCGTGCACTTGGTGCATGTGAACCGAACCCTAGGAAGGAGTAAGTGGACCAAGTCCTTCATAGACCGGCTTTGTGGTCTATGGACCAACGCAGGCGGGTTCACCATGAACCGCGCCTCACCTGTCGGTCACCGTTTGACCCCGGACCCACCTGTCAGTGACCAACCGAGAAGATGATGTCATGCTGACGTCAGCAGGACCCACCTGTCAGCCACGATTTAGCTCTGATGACGCCATGCCGAAGATGACACCACGTCGGCGACCACTCCGACCACTTCGGTGATCTCACCGACCACGTCGGTGAGCTATCCGACCACTTCGGCGATCTCTCTGACCACCTAGGCGATATCCCGACCACCTCGGCGACCACTCCGACCACCTCAGCGATCTCACCGACCACTTCGGCGATCTCTCCGACCACCTCGGCAACCTTTCCGACCACCTCGGTGACCTCTCCGACCACCTCACCAGCCAGTACACCACTCCAAGTCCCTACATGCCACTTGAATCTAGTCACAGTGTGACACATGTCAGCCCTGAATTAATCAGCCTTAATTATTTTCAGAAATGGATTTAATCTTCGGAAATTCATAACTAATTCATATGATCTCAGAAAAATACGAAACTAGGACCAAAATTCATCTAAAATCAAGCTCTACGCAATGAACCCATGTTTGAGTGCATTTGGCTCTTTTGAATTTTCATTGCTTCTTTGTGCTATTCTATAGACGTCACTAACGCGACTATAATACGATCGTTTGTAGACTCAGAGGAGAACCGGACGGACGAGGATCGTGAGTACCGTGAGGAGTACGGAGACGACTACACTGAAGGTGCCACATCCCACCCAATCTCGTAGCACCTATTACGCATGGCTAATATAGAACTTCTAGTGCTTTACTTTATTGTTATGATCACACTATGATAGGACTTGCATGGTAGTATGCTTTCTTGATGGCCTTTACCTTGATGCAACCTTACCCTTGCTCACCCTGCTGTTAGGCTAGTCACACGCTTGATGATGTATTTCATTGCTTATTTCTACTACGCTTGAACTACATTGATGCGTGGTGGAAACTGGTGTTATCTGAACTATGGGGAGAGTGCTGCGTGTGTGACTTGGGTGCGTGGAGGGTGAGGGTTGTGTCAACCAAGTTGGAGTATACGACGAACCTAGGGCAAGTCTTGCCGTGGGGTGCTACCTGGGCACCCCTGGAATGGATACCTGTGGTGGGTAAATGGTATATGAGGTGGCCCTGGGTGTGAACCTGTGATGGAAGGAGCCCGGGGTGGAGGTGCTGTGGTGGCACGATAAATGAAAACCCTGATGAAGACATTCTGGCTTGGTCATCCCTAAGGACTTACTAGTACTCAGATTCACCGGGAAGCCTTACGTACCACTCGCCCTATATGGTGCGGGACGGCCGGACTACTTGGTAGGATATTGCCACTACTGCTAGGTTATTAGCGGACAGTGCGAGGGAGGTACGGGGTGCGGAGGATTTCCCCCCACACCCTTCCGAGACTTCATGGAGACCTTGTGGACCCGGTTCATGACTCACAGTTTCAGCCACCCCAGACCAGACTTAGGGTGTACCAGGGCTAAATGGTAGGGTGGCATTATCCTAGGCTAGCAAGCGGCCGGAATCAGCCTAGTTGACGACGGTCAGCGAGGAAGGCGGATCTTGTGGTTATGTAAAACCTCTGCAGAGTGTATGGTTGATCGATCGATACATAGGCCGACTTGTCGGCTATGGACATTTCCTGCGTTTCGCTTAAACTAGATAGTGAGATGAGTCCTCTTCTCCCCCTACGAGTGAGTGTTCGGACGTAGCCAGGGGCTATGGGCCTTGAGACAGTGCCGAGAGGGAGTTGGCCTGTCGACTGAGCGATGGTATGGTTGTGGTATGGTGATGGTGTGGAGATGGTGGTATATCGATCCTAGGATCGAAACCTGGCTCTGAAATGGGAATGGGGTGGAATGGGTGTGGAAATGGTGTTAAAACTTGACCAACTATTATTATGTACCTGATATGCTAATACATAGGAAACCCCAGCCTTTTAGGTTCCTTTTCGATTATATCCAACTTGCATCCAATTTCCACAAAGCAAATGCTCATAGGGTGGGAGTGGCCAGTACAAATTGTACTGATAAATTTTGGCACACAGGTTCTGCTGAGGAGTATAGCTCCGAGGAGTTTGACGGTTGAGGGGTTCGTTCCTACGCTCAAGTTTGGCGATCTTATCTTCAAGCTGTTCTGGATTAATGCTACTTTTGATTCCGTCAATGCGACGATGTAATAATTTATGTAATTCCACACTATTTGTACTCTGATATTATCGTTGTATGGATGTGATATTTGACTGGAATTTGGGTAATATGATCTACAACGGTCTTATTACACATCGACTCTGTGGATTTCCCTTCGCGGAAATGAGGTCGCTTCAGTTGCAGTGTTCAGTAGATAGAATGAATGAATGATTTTGTGATATGGTGATAGGCAGTGTTCTATCTAGATTGAATGAATGATTTTGTGATTGTCAGTAGCTATTTTTGTGATTGTCAGTAGCTTTTTTTCAATTTGGATGGTTCAATTCTGATGATATGTTGTTAACTTGTGCCATGTTGTTGGACTGCAGATTGCATTGGTGATGGAGACTCCTGGGAGCAGTGACCAACCTGAGCAGGTCTCGCGGGCTTCCATCCCTGTGACGAAGCTCTCCTTGGTAATCAGGTTATAGCCATTGACGGGTGTGCCCATGGGTACACTATGCCCGCGGGTGACGGGTGCGGGTTCAATTCCGTGCCCGTGATGGGTCGCGGGCGTGGGTGCGGGCACAGGGTTTGCCTCGGGGGTGCGGGTTTGTAGACCCTCTACCCGCGGGTAATGTGCCCGTTGCCATTCATATGAAGAAAGTCGTTCTAAATAAATAATAAGTAAATAGGACAAAAATATGGAAGAATAGATTATGTTTGGATCCATCCAACTAACTAGTATTCCGTAGTTGTGTTAGCTAAGGGCCTGCATGGTTTATATCTAAAATTGAAAATTTGTTATGCAAAAAGATTTGGTAAGCTAAAAGTTAGGCAAAATCATTACCTTAGATTTGGCAAGGTAAATATGATAATTTGGCAAGTTTTGGTACCAAACCAAATATTGATCAAAATCATAGCTTGCCAAATTATTGGCATGACAAATTTTAGAAGCGTGCCAATCAGGCAAAAAAAACATTAACTAATAGCTAATTATTAGTTAAATAGTAGAGGTTCCAAGTATAACCTCATCTAGAGTAATTTTTAGCAGCTAAAGCTGCATGGATCAAACAGACCCTTAGCGTTAACATCATAACTTTAGGGGCATTTTCTCCTCTTAACACGCTTGTACCGAATGAACCATTACCACCGGCACCAGCGTATTTAATGCATATAAATGACCACACGAACCGAGGAAAATATAAGCATGTGCTGCCTTCTTCCAATTCCAAGCCCATGGGTCATCTGGGACATCTGGACACCCATGAGCTGATCGACTTCCTGGCGCCCATCTGGTGATCTCCCACTACCTCTCGTCCTCTCCACACAGGGCGCCACAGCAGACAGCACAAGCAGCGCCTAAATCCCACCACTTCGTAGCTAGCTTGTGCTTGCAGTTGCAGAGCTGCTCCTGGTGGAGTCGGAGAAGCTAGCAGCCATGAGGCACGCTCCATCGCCGGCCATGCTCCTGTTGCTGCTGCTTCTGGGGATCGAGCTGGCCACTGTCACCTACATCAGCTGCAGAGCTCTGAAGCCCGATGCGGCGACCGCGGCGCGGAGGCACGGCGGCGGCGCCGTGCTGTGGACGACGGTGCGCGCGCCGCCGCGGACGGCGCCCGATGTGGGCGGCGACGTGGGCGCGAGGGCGGCGGTGCAGGGTGAGTCCAAGAGGCTGGTTCCACAGGGCCCCAATCCACTGCACAATTAACTAGCCCCAGCCAGCTTTCAGGCACTGCAACAACCGTAAGTACGTGCTCTGTCGTGCTGACAACGACTGCAATTCGTGTTTTCCTTACGTTTTCTTGCGAACGAGCACAAGCAACATACATTTCGCCATTTCGTTGTTGTTGTAACTAGTTAGCGCTGAGCAAAAATATAGAGGTCATAATAACACAAGATTGTTGTATTAATGCCATGTACTCCCCCCATCTTAAATCATAAGTTATTCCAGCTTTTTTTAGTCAAAGCATCATAAGTTCGACTAAATCTATATAATAAAACAATAATATTTATGATATTAACTAAGTGTTATTAGATTCTTTATTAATTATATTTTTATAGTATATCATGTAAAAAAAATTAATTTTCTCTATGATTTTAGTTAAACCGGAGATGCTTTGATTCTAAGTTAGAATTACTTATAATTTACAATGCAGCGAGCAATATCGAGTAGCACAAAGGTTGTGAAGTCATACCCAATCTGCCAATCCATGCTTCGTTGCCTCTTTGAAGGTCCTCGTAGTACTTAGGGCCTCTTTAGTGTGGTACTAGTTCTAAAAAACTGTGGTACAAGAAACTTTGGTTGGTTTTATAAGCAACCGTGTGAAAATCGTAGTTTATATATGTATAGATAGAGAGAGATTCTAAGTGATGTTTCTAGAACTCTAAAAAGATTATGGGTATACCATGGCTTTTAGTAAAAGCTAAAAGGTTTGTTTCATCCAATTAAACAAGCGACAACTAATAATACTTCAAAAATACCTTGCATCTGCTTTGCCTATTTTTAATATGACACTCATAAAGCCTGGTTTTGTTTAGAAAAATGCCCTCTGCGTGTTTTTCTTAATTCGATTCAAACTCTCAAAGTTTGAGCAGAGACCGGTTTCTTTCTTCTCGTTGTGGCGGTGGTGGATGTGGTGATTTCTGACTTCTGAGGGCCCTTGTGACATGGTCTCGCGTGTTGAGATCAGAGAAGCACAGGGACATGGGGACCTGGCCAGGTCCAGGCTTAAGTTCTGGTGAGTTGTCTCATCTCACCAGCTGCAGCTTCCCAACGCCCACTACTCTAGACTAGAGGGGTGGCGCCCGTGCGCCCTGTCTTTGAGACAGTGACCTTCTGTTACGTCTTGTCATTAAATAAAGAAACAAATTTGAAATTACTAGTTCCTGCTGGAACGGAGGAATTTCATTCAAGAATGTACTTATTCATGCAAAATTCCTCCTTTCGGGACAAACAAAGCCTAAAGCAAAGAAAGATGGTCTTTCAGTGTCCGAAATGACAGTAACAACACCAATTCGTTCAATTGCTTGAAGCCGGAAGGGACAGCATTACTGAATTCAGTATGTATATATGTAGAAAAATTGCCAGCGCGGCTATATATATGCAGATCACAACTCCTACAAGAAGGTGGTTGCACATTTTGCACCAGAAGCCTTCTGCTGTTCTGCAGCAGTGCAGCTTCAATAACCTTACGGAGAATGAAAGAAGGCAAGACAAGTACGATCTATCAGTTTCTTAGCAGGAAGTTAGAAATACCAAATCGACTGAATTCTGCATTAGCATGAAGTATTCAACGGCTGAAGACTCCAAGCGCATGAATTGTCGCTGTGCTCTGGTGTTCTAGCTCTAAGATGATTGCTTCCATCCACCAAAGTCCTCTGGGAGACCCCGCTGGCGAGTATCCTACATAAAGAATAACCATTAGCATTAGCTTACTAAAAAGCAGCAGAGTTTTTTTCTCGGGAAAACTGAGTATCATGTATTAAGTAGAGGAAAAGAAATTGCAAATACAACCACCCCCACAACATAAAAACAAACACACCCAAACGCACACAGCGCAGCAACATAGTTTTTCTTGCAGCCTATCGTGGCAAACAGGTTCCATGTGAGCAATTCTTGACCAATAAAGAGCAATAGTTTTTTACTTAACGAAAAACAGAACTTAGGGAAACAAAAAAAAATCATGTTTGGGACTTTTGGTGAATCCTACTTTCCTGCGTTGCATATCCAGTGAAAATCTTCAGGCAAATGGTCCAGTAGCTAGCTTTAAAGGTGCAGTACAGCCAACTGTATCTCAAAACAGATGTATAATTACTTGTACTTAACACCACCACTGCATTTCCGGCATGGCATCTCATGACTAGACAGTAGACACCATACGGACGCTGAGGCTATTATGTTCAGTTATGGAGTAGACCTAAATGTTAGGGAACTCATCACAGCCTGTATTGATTCAACAACAGGGATGCCAGAATGCTATACTCGTCGAAAGAAATGCTTGCCTTGATCGTTTGCATTTCGCAGTCTATGCAATCTTTTTCTTTCTTCATGTGATTAGCACCAATTAGTAGAAATTTGGATAACAGAAGATGTATTATATTCAACAAAAAAAAATGAAGTTCTATACTCTAGCAACTGAGCTAATTAATATTACAAACACTATTTATCCTGAGTTATGCAAAGGATTAAACCAGAAAGAACCACATAGATATGAAGTGGAGAATGTTGTATGCAGTATGCAACTATGCATCCTCTGACACATATACGTATACACAAATCACTACACAAGTGTCCTCATGTAGAACCACCACCAATGATTTTTATAAAAGTAAAGACAAAGATATTTTCACCGTGATGTACAAGCAGGTGGTAGATTAAAATGCTAATGGATTATGAAACATTACAATTTACTGTACCTAACTGCTAAATTCATAATTTCAATGTTCATATCTTGCTTCATTCTTGGTAGAAGTAGGTACCAACCAATGCTTCTATATGCATGGCAGCATGGGCATATATTGAGGAAAAAAAGGAAAGTACTTATATGTTTATGGTCAATTTTCAAATATTGGAGACTGTATTAACTTCCAAAATGGCAATCAAAAGAGAATGGATGTGGACGGTACACATAACAAAAGGCATTGAAATTAAAATTAGATTAAATAATTTCAACATTCATATCTAAATATAAGCATAGAGGCAGATTTCTAGAATCTACCTCAGGAGTGAATGTGAGACCAACTTTGATTTCCCCGCAGTATTTTTCACCTTTCACAACATTATAGAGTGTTGGTGGAATGCTCCTTTCAGTATACACTGCTTCCAATGGAATCCTGTGAAAACCAATTCATCAGGGCTCTTTAAAATTTAAATCACCAAATATCACTACAGTTTGCTGAGTTACATTAATCTAAGGGCACAAGTAAGAATGGCAACAAAGAATTGCAGACACGAATTACAGTGTGTACTTACGTTGCTTCACCAACAAAGTCATCTGCTGTGCCTGTATCACTGTCCATAAGCTTGATCAACAAGTCTGTGGTCCGGTCAGACACGGTGAAGATAAAGTTTTCATTCCACTCAGGGCTACTTCCTTTTCCTGCATGCATGATCATGTTAGTGTAGCTAGCAGAATTGAAGCAACATAATTTAGTATCAGACAGTACCTTAAAGGTCTTATATTAGTACTTGAATGTCAGAAAGATAGCATGCTCCTTTTACATTTTAGGGCCACTGCAAAAAGAATTGAACCCCCTATCTTTTTTTACTAAAATATGCTGACATGCATTTGAATTATGAACCATTTGCCTTAATTAGGAATTAAAACCAGGTCCATAGTCACAAAGTTCCTGGGCCGACGGGGTCGAGGAACGTGGTATCCTACTTACTAGAGTTTTTTTACACTGTGGAGTCGAAAATGACCCGCATACTCGGGCCGAGGGTCGATGGCTTTGACCCGTTTTATGTGAGTATGACCAGGATACAAGGTTAAACACAATGTAAAAGGGTAATTTTTACCTTACAATTACTTCCTAAATGTTAGCAATATTTACTGCCCTCCTAGTATTGTTTATCTGAGTGATGAGTTATCTTATGTATATGAACTAATTCCTTTTAAAAAGGCAAATCGCTTCCTGAAACTTTGTTACAATATCATTTGACTTGCATCACAATACAGCTTTTTACATGACGTGTATTATTCTTTAAGCATACTATGGACTACCTGATTACAGTATTCCACAAAACATATTGTATGAGAGAATGCAATGTTTCAGTGGACTTCTGAATTCTAATATCCATATTGAGGTCAAATCATTTTTTCCTAATGCAAAAGATCCAAATGTTTGGAAAAAGATCCAAATGTTTAACTAAAAGTTTTTTTATCTACTCAGAACAGAGAGATGGGAATGAGGACGAACTGGCATTGTGAGGAAAAACCCCGTGGGCCCCAAGTCAAATAGTCCTTCCATATCCACCATTGCATCTGTGGAGGCCGGAGGTGCTCTTCTTAATCCTATGGTGTAAAAAAACCTGTGAACGGCACAACTGAAATAGATATCCACCAGTTGCAATACTGCTCTTCTGCTCCTGTGAACGGCACTTGAGAATTGCATATGGATCCATGTTACCTGCGGGTTCATTCCAAGGAAATACTCATCACAAGGAATCTCACCAGTATTGGAGAATTTTTTTTGGGAAAATACAACTGACAAAGCAACTGAACAAGTAATGTGGCTAATTTGAGCACGTATTGCTAACTTCGGTTTTACAAATCCACAATTGACGACCCTGAAATCTACAAGCATATGTGAAATCCACAATGTCCCGAGGGCTTCCTATGCTAACGAGAACAAGTGCGAACAGTTCACGTAAGCAATTGAACGCCAAACAAAATAGCTCATAAAATCATTTTTTCTAACACTTCACACTGAAGGACGAAGAACTGACAAGTATAACATGATTAGTTAAATTAATCTAGATTAGCAACGCAATAATAGTATTAATCCATTGACCAATCAATGTTAACTGAGCAATTGACCAATTGCTACTATCCCAGAAGCCCCGATCCCCATGGAAACAATGGACCACGATAAATCACATGGAGAATGGACAAAGAGCAGGAAAAAGGACTATGTTGAAGATTTAGCCGATGCGTACAGAGGTAATCGGTGTTCTCGAGGCCCTTGGCCCCAACGAGCAGCACCTCCAGCGTCCCGTGCACCATGTCCTCCTCCCCTCTCCTCGCTCTCCCTCACAAGCCCCTGCGCCTTGCCTGTGGCGTGAACGAACGGAGACGCGCGCAGACAGGTGGATCCGATTTTCTGGCTGCCCTTTATACGCGTCTGGCTACCTTCCTCGCATGGAGGCGGAGGCGGAGCGGCATGCCATGGATGGCCATTAGCTTCGCCCGCCACCGCCAGTTCCGCGCGTCAGGGGGTGGTGGGGAATGGAAGTGGAACCGTGGAGGCACCACGCCACCTCCTGCCTGCGGCCGGCAACTGGCTGACCCTGATACACACCGATGTGGGCTGGGATAACTGGGCTCATTCTTCGCGTTGGCGGGCTTTCTGTTCACCTCGGATTCGGGACGACACCGGCCCACCAAAACTATGGCTTGAGATTTTGTGCGAATTTCCTTCTGATTATCTGGTCTGATGGCGACGGGCGAGTCACGACTCGCGCGTCCACATCGGCAGCACACGGCGGCGCCACACGTCCCCCGCCGCGGGGCCCCGGACCGATCTGTACTTATCTGTCCGCCCCACCCCGCCTCATTCGCAATCGCAACGCGACTCGCTCCTCCAGAGTCCAGACCTCCACGGCTCCACCCCAACTCCCTCCCAACCACCTTCCCTTTCCGCACCGCCCCCGGTTTCCCCACGCCTCCTCCCTCCCACCCGCTCACTCCCGTCCCCATCCATCCACCGCGATGGCCTCCCGCCTCGCCGTCTCCGTCTCCGTCGCCGCGCCCGCGTCGTCGCCTTCCCCGGCCGCCATCGTCGCCCCGCCGCGCCTCGCGCTCCGCCGAGGCCTCCCGCCGCCGACGTGCCGCGCGCTCCGCACCGCCCTCCCCCCGCGATCCCGTGGCGCGGCCGTCGTGTGCCAGGCCCAGGGCGGCCAGGACACCGCCATCCAAGGTATATCTTCTATGCCCGCGTAGGTTCACCTCCTGCTGCTAGGCTCCGATTCGCGTTTCGATCTGACATGGAATGGCGCTCGGCTGCTGATCTGGGTTACTAGATTTTGGAGATGCGAATAGGCCGCTGAGATGATTGGGTTTTCTGATCTTCCGTGTCGTTGAGAGTGTATCGGTGGAGTTAGGATTTTCGCAACTGTTACCCCCTCATAACTCAGGGACTTGTTTGTTTTTGGAGACGAATAAGAAGTAGGAATAGCAGGGCACGGCAGTTCTAAAGATGACGTAGTGAAGCAAGCAGCAGTTAATGAGCGAAGGCATGACAGCTTATTTGTGTATGTGTGTATTCCTGCATGTATTTGTATAGATAGATAGATAGATATACATGGTGCATCACATGCAGCTTGTTGCACAGTGCAGACCTGTGTGACTGTGTGCAGTGCACCAATGGTCCAATGCATGTATGCGACTATATGCGCATCAAACTTAAAAGGAGATGTACACAAAGGTATAATATGTAGCTCATTGTGTAGCATTTTCTGACTGCATTGGCGCGAAAGCTAGTTTCGAATTTGAATCTATTAACATTTAACGTCACATGGAATCATTTTGTCGTGATCTGCTAGGAAAGATTTAAATTGAACATTGCAATTTCTGACAGCTGGCTTATACTGACAAATGATGCCAATAATATGAGAATGTATGCCGTTTAAAGTTCGGCAGAATACTTGCTGTACTGTATTCTGCATCCGATATCTTATCTAATTATGCTTTAGTCGTAGGTATACTTATTGAAACATGATATTGTTCTGAATCTATCTTTATTGAGTCTCATTACATTCAATGTATGTAACTAACTGCCATACTGGAATAGTGAGATGTAGCAACAAAAACATTCTCCTATTTCAAAATTAGGATTCTAGTTACTGTTATTGTTAGGGTTCTGACTGGCAGAATGTTGATTCTGTATTATTCTGTGGTAGTTTTAGATGGATTTATGCCTTTTCATATATCATCAAGGGTCAGCTTTGAGCCCTTATCTGTTTGCCTTAGTGATGGATGAGGTCACAAGGGGCATACAAGGGAACATCCCTTGGTGTATGCTTTTCACGGACGATGTAGTGCTAGTTGATGAAAGCCGGACAGGAATGAATCAGAAACTGGAGTTATGGCGGGAGACTTTGGAGTCCAAAGGTTTTAGACTCAGTAGAACTAAAACTGAGTATATGAGATGTGACTTCGGCACTACTACTCGGGAGGAGGAAGATATTAGTTTGGAAGGTCAAGTAGTGCCTAGGAAGGATATCATTCGATATTTAGGATCAATGGTACAGAGAGACGGGGATATTGATGAAGATGTTAGCCATAGAATCAAAGCAGGGTGGATGAAGTGGCGCCAAGCATCTGGTGTCCTATGTGACAAAAGGGTACCACAGAAGCTAAAAGGCAAGTTTTATAGGACGGCGATTAGACCTGCTATGTTGTATGGTGCAAAATGTTGGCGTACGAAAAGACGACATGTTCAACAGATAAGTGTCGTGGAAATGTGTATGTTGCGTTGGATTTGCGGTCATACAAGAAGGGATCGAGTTCAGATCGATGATATACGTGATAGATTAGGGGTAGCACCAATTGAAGAAAAGCTTGTCCAACACCGGTTGAGATGGTTTGGACATGTCCAACAGAGACCTCCAGAGGCACCGGTGCGTAGTGGAATCCTAAGCCAGGATAGTAACGTGAAGAGAGGCAGAGGAAGACCGAAGTTGACTTGGGTAGAGGCAATAAAAGGAGACTTGAAGGGATGGAATATACCCAAAGACTTAGCCTTAGATAGGAGTGCTTGGAAAACAACTATTCACGTGCCTGAACCTTGATTGCTTCTGCTGGGTTTCAACTCTAGCCTACCCCAACTTGTTTAGGACTTAAATGCTTTGTTGTTGTTGTTGTTGTTGTTGTTGTATGCCTTTTCATATATGAGAAGTGACTGCAATAGAGCTGCCAGACATTCATTAAGAAGGTAAAAGTGCTAGATTAAGTGCAAGGGTAAGCAGATTTGTATGGAGTTTGTGGTTGCTGTAATAAGTTAGGACCTCTATTTGCTTTCTCATAAAGATTGTATATGGTACCATAGTTCTTCTCAACCCAAGTGGAGCCTGAAATTACCTTGTGTGAAAATGGGCCGTATGGAGTCATGAGCACTTTCATTTGTCGCAACAGTCATTTACTCCTTATATTTTCCTACCTTGTTGTGGATACCAATATGAGACTCTGTTTGGAATTGCGCACAGTTCCTAATTTCAAGTTTAATGTATATTCGGATGAATTTATTCAGGCTTGTGCTATTGAATACGTACCATAGCCATGCTTATTTGCTTTGTCTGGAAAGAGATTATCCCATATGCCTGACAGAAGACACAATAAATTTGCATAATAAGACCTATTTGTCTGAGCTTTGAAAAAAAAAAAAGGCTTATGAATTGCTTATTGGGTTGAATAGTAAGTTCCTTATCTGCTATGTTTAGTCACTGCCTAATGTTTCCTTATCCAATTGCATCTTAAGCAGTCTCCAATGCAATTTTCATGTATGAAATTATGTGGTTAAGCTGGAATATTAACGATTGTATATCTTTTAGCCCCTGGAGATTAGTTGTTGTTCATGCCTTTTGTGTTCGCTATTTAACATTTTCTTTGTAATGACATGCTTGATATCCATGTCTGGAAATGTGGATGCATTAGTAGGAACTGTATCTCAACTTTCAAAACCTTAAATTGCAGATATTCAAGTCATTGCTCCGCACGCGCGCGCGCGCGCACGCGCCTGAATCATGCTTGTTAAAGTGATACATTTCTCCTGAATCATGCTTGTAGAATGGTTACACATCAACTTTAATTTAGACCCATTGGCCTTATTAGCCTCATGGAATAGTTTTTGTTTTGTCCTGTTTTATAGTGATTGATGTACAAGTTCTTTAAAAAAAAAAAAGTTGATGTGCCAACTTATATATGTTCTAAACCTCATTCTTTTCCAGTTCCTGATGTGAGCAAATCCACATGGCAATCACTTGTGGTGGAGAGCGAGCTTCCTGTCCTCATTCAGTTCTGGGCCTCATGGTGCGGACCGTGTAAGATGATAGACCCCATCGTTGGCAAGCTCTCAAAGGAGTACGAAGGAAAGCTGAAATGTTACAAGCTAAACACTGACGAGAACCCCGACATCGCGACCCAATTGGGCATCCGGAGCATCCCCACCATGATGATATTCAAGAACGGTGAGAAGAAGGACGCGGTGATTGGAGCCGTGCCAGAGAGCACCCTGGTCACCTGCATCGACAAGTATGTTGGTGGGAGGTGAAATCTCAATCTGCTTGGATTTCCATATGTAGATGGATGGGTATGGGTATACCGTTCTTATTGAACTGCTGTTGAGTAGTTGTATGTAGATAATAATATGATTCTCACTGCAATAAATGTGATTTAAGGATGGCAAGTCATCTGGATGAAAGTTTGCTTCTGGCCTAGCTTTAGGTCCCATGTTTCATTCATTCAGTTGTGTTCCTGTGTGTAGATGATCTGCTAAGTCGTATGGAGCTAATGGTCCTTATCTGAATCTCCATCTGATTATTCTCGATTGATGAGTTCATGGATCAGGAGCTGTGGCCAAAAGTAATGTGTAATGTTGTGTTGGTGATAGTATGTGTAGCTGTGTATTGTCGGTGGTATTGGGGGTTACTTAAAGGACGTGGTTGGGACCATTTAAAATCGGACATGTGGTCGTTCCAGTAAGAATTAAAAGAATCTGTGGTCGTCCCAATGAGAATAAAAAAAATCCCGCTAAATATCTTGCGTTATCGACGATTCTTTCTACCGCCTAAGACACATGAGCGTATTCGTTTGGTCGTAAACGATCGTGGATTATAAGTTATAATAGTATTTTTCTCTCATTAAACCAACCAGCAGTAATAATCCACGATCGTGAGATTGAACGAGATCGCGTTCTCTCGCATTTTCCATACCGTGGGTGGAGATCGCGTTCTCTCGCATTTTCCATGCCGTGGGTGGAGATCGCGTTCGCGATACCGCACCGCGCGGTAGCCATGTAGTAGATCCAATAGCTCATCTTTAATAAAGAATCTAACATACGGAGCCATTTGTCAATGAGAAATCTATTTTCTCCTCTTCTTTTTTTCTCCACACTCATTTGCCTCTCACCCTTCCTTAGAGCAACTCCAAGAGAGTTGCTATTCCTAGCGTGGAATCAGATTTAGACATTTTGTGCTATAAAATAGACTCCAACAGATGTTGTATCTGGAGTTGTAAAATACCTAGCCGTCTATTCTGTGAATCTCGGTGGCCAAAGAAAGCCAATGAGCGCCACTTGCTATCTCGCTTTCCCGTGTGGCTTCGCACACGTGCGGCCTATTTGCCGCGCTGTCCTGGCCGTTCCCCGTCACGAGTCGCCGGCTCGCCGGCTGCCCTTTTCGGAGCATGTTCCTCACCACGCTGCTCCGCCCCTTCGAGCTCCTCAAAAAATCATGCCGTGGCACTACGCAAGCTTGTCGCATCCGCCATCTGCAGGAGCTCTGCCCTGCGTTGTACGTACTTGTTCTCCATCCTTGCTAGACAGACGGTGCCAATCCCTTTTCCAATCGGCTACATTCGATTTTGATAGATTGGGCAACCTCCGAGTGCTAGCCAAGGCCGGCTGCAGCTGGCCATGGCCGGATGCACGGGCGTCAATACGTAGCATGGTCGCTGCTGTAGCTTGGGTGCAATTAGCCAACGAGCCGAGCTACCACCATGACGGTTGTGTCTAGGTGGCCGTTGGCCGGTCACGGAGGAAGTAAAGGGCCTGTGACGTTCCGGCGGCGGACTACTGCGTCATGGTGCTTCTAAAAAGATGTGTGGCGAGCTATTTAGAAAGGTTGTTGCAGTTCATTGTCTTTTTAAGAGGTTTTCTATTTTACATAATCGCTGAATCAAAGGATTTGACATGTATTTTTAGCACCTCTCTTGGAGATGCTCTTATGTTTTTTTTTTCCTGCTCACTCATTTATCTCACCCCCTTCCTTCGGTCGCTCGCATCTTTCTCTGCCCACTACCGTTCTCTTTCTGCATCTTCCATCGTTGCCGCGTCTCCCTCGCTCCACTCTACAGACCGATGCGAGCTTTAGCACCTCCGTGCCTCTTCAGTGATCTAACAAGAGAGTGCCTGCAACCAGAGAGCAACCGCCACAACAAGCAGGACGGTAGCTGCTGACTCAGTACAGTACCACAAATTAACAACGACCAATAAGCGACAAGTAGAGCCCGCGCTGGAGAGCGACCAAGCAACGACTACGACTACCGATACCAAGCACAGTGCTCAGCAGTGTTTGCCCAGTGCCTACTGCCTAAATTGACTTTCAGTCGCGTCATTAAAAACCTAGCTACGCGGTGGTCACTGGTCAGCTTGTCCGGTCCGTTTGATCGTTGTTTTGCTCGTTAATTGACTAATAAAACGATTGGTAACTGAGCGCTTAGCGTTCGGGGTGAGCACGTACTCCTCAACGAGCAAGGGATTTTGTTTGACGCAATCGGCTAACCATCGTGTGATTTTGCACGGTCTACTGAATCATTTATCCTTGAACCTACCCATAGGACAGCATAAAGATCTGACTGGACTGCTTACAAGTTGAACAAGTCCGATAACCTGGGGCGATAGCTCAAGCCTCACCGTCATCCTCATTTGCCGATTTCGATTTGCGTGTATGCGCTCCGGTCAGGCTCGCTGGCTCAGGTACGGGTGGATGTGGGCAGTGCCGTCGCCATGCTCTCTGCTGCTCGCGTCTCCCTGTCACCGACAGGCAACTCTGCTCTGTATGAAGTGAAGCAAACGAATACGTATTTCCATTTCCACGGGACCAGCCTAGCTACGCCTCGGCCTCGCGCAAATGGGCACGCACTGCCACACCTCCGGGCCTCGCCCCAAGGCCAGCCGCGTAGAGCAGGCACTAGGCAGTTTGGCGATGCGTCACCGGACTTGTACTAGACTACTAGTGCTGTCTTCTTCTCTCTTTCTGTCGGAGTCGGTGGACGGTGCTCGGTGCGGTGCGATTAAGCGTGAAAACGATCGAACTCGATCGATTGAAAAACTCCTCAACTGTTTTTTATTTTTATATTTAAAATACAAAAGCGAAAGCGAAAGCGGACAAGTCGGACACGAAAACGAACACGAACTTACGGAATATCTAGAATTTCGAAAACGAACCAATTCGAGCGGAATTATGTCGAACACGGTCAGTATGCGAAAATTCAATACGAAATACCGACCCACAGTACATAGCATTAAATAAGTGCACGACCAAATACATAACAAGTTCATAACTAACAAGTGCATGATCTAGTTTAAGTGCATAACATTAAACAAGTGCACGACCAAATACATAATAAGAGAGATGAGGTTGGACGCCGTCTATAAGAGATGACAGCTAGCCACCAGTAGAAAGAACGCAGCTGCGTGGTGAGCAGCCTGTAATTGGGTTGTATGACCTGTGCAGTTGGTCAAATTCGGTTTAAACCGAATTTTGAATTCGGAATATTTCAAATTAAAAGTAAAAAAGTAGAAAACGGTCGAAAAATGTGTAAACCGTTTTCTACTTTTATATTTGAAATACGAAACATCTCAAATGCGAAAGCGAAAACAGTAAAGTCGAAAAAAAAATATGAATTTGATCGGATTAAATATAGAAAACGATACGGTTTGGTTCGAGATATTTCCGTTCCGTTTTTATCCTTAGTGCGATGGAGTTTATTCAACCACGATGGCTGCAGTCTGCTCGTCGTTCAATCATTTCATGAACATGATCCGTTTCGATCGGCGAACAGCGGCTGGTGGAAATCGCAGGTCGGAGTAACAGAGACAGCGACCCGGTTCGGTTCCGCTCGGAGAATGCATGGGCGGCCCACCGGTTCAGGTTGGTTCAGCTTTTGCTTGTGCACTCGGGTCGGGCGGCCGGGCGGGGTTGGGGTCGCTGTCGCTCGTCAAGTCGTGATCCGTGGGACCTGCAGCGCAAAGTGGAAAAGGCGACCGACTTTAACGTACTCCAGTGCGGGCGATGACGTTGATGCAGCCGCGCGCGTCGCGGAGCTGAGCTGCCAACTGAAAGATGCCGCGGCGCACGGCGGCGCGGCCGTTGCAGCGGGGAGAGACGATGACGCGGGCACGCGGCCGCACGGCGCGCTCGAGCTGTGCTGATCGGCTGATTGAATCCCCTACCGTATTATTGCGCGTCGCAGGCGAACAAAGTGGCGTGCACGCAAGGCAAAGTGGTTTTTTTGGAACGGAACAAGGGCAAGTGCTTTTGTACGCGGACGCAAGATATCTCCTGGCATCATCACTCGAGGAAAAGGTTTTCCAGCACCAACCAAAAAAGATCTTATCAGTCACTCATCACGGAGCGATAAAACCACACCCGAAACTGCTGCTTCTGAAAAGAAAGAATAAGAGCATCAACAAGAGTTCCTAAACCTTTTTCCAATCCTTGATTTTTTAAAAAAATAAAAAAAAATCCCTCTCCAACAACTCCTAATACAACCTCTAAACATTTTAGAAGTAAGAAAAAATCCCCTCCTCTGCATAGTTTTACGCGGACTCTCGTCGCGTGGAAAGAGGTTCCTTCGCCGCATCCATCACCAGTTCGCGAGTTCCTTCGCGTCCTCCAACGCTCACCGTCGAGGGTAGACGACGCGGGGTTGGCGGCGCACCAGTCCTCGCCGCCGCTGCTGCCGCCGGCGTCGAGCAGCGGGGAGCTGGCGCGGCGCGAGAACGACGAGCGCGACTTGGGGCGGCCCGTGTCCACCTCCACGATCTTGGGGCTCCGGTCGTAGCCGTACGACGAGGACTCGACGCTCGCCGACAGCCGCCGGCTGCTGTACGCCGCCACGCCGCCGTGCTCGCTCCGCGTGTCGTCCGCGTACCGCTCTTGCTGCCCGCCGGACGGACGGACGTCAAGAAACAGCGAGGATATAAGTATACGAGAGTGAGCATGAATGAACGAGTAGCCAAAGGCGTGTCAGTACCAGCGAGTAGCGCGGGCGGACGGGCGGCGGGTGGTGGAGGTGCGGGAGTGCGGCGGCGACGCCGGCGCGTCTGGCGCGCACGGCGGCCTGCGCGCGGACGAGCGCCTGCATGCTCTGCAGCGTGGCGGCCGCCTGCCTGCGCACGAAGGAAGAGGAGCGGCGGTGGCGTCGAAGAAAAAAAAAAGTGGCATCAAATTTTAAATTTTTAGAGTGAAATATTAAACTTTTTTTTTCTTCCAATATCTTTTTAAGTTGAAAAACATGGTATTTTTAGAAAGAAAATTTAGGAAACTTAGAGATGCTCCAATACTATTACTTTTTTTTTTTTGAAACGCAGCTCCAATACTTATTACTAGGTCTAGTATATCTAGGTGAAAAAAGGAGAGGATCTGCACCCATCCAACCAACCAATTGCTCCCGAGTTCCAACAAGCGAAGCGTCCGCTTCTGCCTCCTCTGCCTGCACCGCCGCCGCTCCTCCATCTCTTTTTATCCCCTGCTGACGTCGCCGCGCCCGCCGCATCCGCCGCCGCCCTCCTCATCTCATCTCTTCCTTGCGAGCCCCAAGGGCAATCATAAAAGCTGTTAGCGCCATGACCAGTATCACATCTTTCCTCTGCCTATTTTGTACGCCACTGTTGTGATCCTGCCTGCGCCAACTCCTCGGTCAGTCCTCACCCTGGACCCCCGCTGGGAACAGAAAGAGAGGGGGACGTCGGCTGCACTCTGCATCCTGCCGCCGCAGGTCAGTCGCCACTCGCCACCGTCAATTCTCATGTTCTTCTTGGTTGCGGTCAGTTCTCGTGTTCTTATTGGCTCCGGGTGATGCGATGATCCGAGTATGCGCTGCTTGATATGTAGTATCCAGGGTGCTCTGCCTGTGTTCATGGTGTAGATCAGCTGCTTTGGCTGCTCCAGTGCTATTATTGCTTCCATTCAAGGGGTGTTCGTGGGGTTGTTTCCATCTCTGTTCTTGTCCCCTTTTGGACATGATTGCCTCTCCCAACAAAGGTCCTGCGCCATTTCGATACCCACCTTCTGGCTTCCAAGCGAATCGCCATGGATCTGGTAACTCGGTTTGTCATCTCACTTGCTGCTCTAGTAGTGGCTCTTCTTTTTAGCTTTCTTTTCTTGGTCCTGTTGTTCGAGGGATGCAGCAAATCTGTCTCTGTCAACGCCGAATGTTGGTCTTCTCTCCTCTGTCTCTCTCTTTCGCGAGGAAACCAATTGTCTGTTGGCAACTACCATTCGGTACATTGCAGTTCATACTTACGAGTTTCTTTAATATGATCACGTTTTTCATGTATGGATTCGCATCCTATTTGAAAAGGACGTATTGAATTGTGCGTGCTTTTGTTTATGCATTATTTTTTTTATGGAATGCAATCGACTCCACAGTATATACTAGAGTAGAGGAAAGCTTCAGGATGTTGCTTCATTCTTAAAAATGATCGGATCGGCCATATGTTGAGTGCGCCAAACAAAAAGCTGAAAGGCTAACGGTAGCTTGTTTTGCGGGCACCGTGTGCTAACTGCTAAGCTTAACTAGATACAAATCCTTGAAACGTGATGCGTGTGGGTTATAACTTTCTATGCATCGGTTTTGGTATCTCGAGTGCACTAAACTATCTGCCCTTTGGTAATTAACTAGCGGTGTAAGCCATCAAACTTGACTGAATCCGTGTGCTTCGCCTGTTGATCTATCGTCGTCTGATTCCATCATAAAGTCAAAACGCTAGTCGATTACAACTTATATGTACATGCTGCTTGTTCCGAGTTACTCCTTGGATTAGAATAGCAATGGAGAATGCACAATTAGGATAGGATAACGAAAATCTACTATGTTGACAGTTAAATCAACGCCTCTATACGGGTGTGGAGCCTATCTTTTATTATTTAAGAAAAGTTCCTCCAAGTTGCTGGCCAAATCATTGATGGTTTCCCGATCCTATCACACTTTTGTTTTTGTCAGCGTGTATGCACTGTGACTATGTGAGTATGGAGCTTTTACGGTCCAAGGAATAAAAATTCATCATAGTTGTTGAGCAAAAGAATTCCTGTTTCGGGATCTTATCTCAAGTTGGAAATCATTATCTTCGCCTTTTGTTATTGTCTTCTCTGATCAGTAGATATGCTTAAAAACGAGCCTTTTTGTTGCGCTTATCTCCGTTGAATATCTAGTGTTCCAAACTCGAGTTAGCTCATACTAGTAATTGTTTACAACCTAGAAGTAGTTAAGCGTCGTACCTTGTCGTTGTTTGTCAATTATTCCTATAGAAATAATTGCTTGACTAATGACTAGGATCAAGTTGAAGATTAGAGTGCAGATGCATGGTCTATCTTTTCCCTCCCACCGGTTGTTTGTATGGTCAACGCTGCTCCATTGGTCTTTTCTTGCTCCCGTACGAAAACTAGGAGTTAATCCTGTCACTGTCCAATTGCCCAACATTCAGTTTGGCCTTGTTTGATTTATAAGCCGTATTTTTTCAGTCCAACGAATAATATTTTCTCTCACATCAAATCACCAACAGGACTTTCAGCCATAGCTTATCAGTCAAACAAGCACAAACGAACAGGTGATCGTTGTCCGAAATCAAATCACGAGGACATGTTTAGCTGATCGGATCAAGGAGTAGTAGAGTGCTGGTACCTTTCTTCTGCTTTCATCTCGAGGTAGTAAATTTTGATAGCTAGTGTGTCGAGTGTTGACCCGGCCTGTGGATCCTAATCGTTTCAATCAAGGACGCCTCTGCGTCATCACACTTACCGTGGTTCCGTATAAGGAATGGTAAACACCAAAGACAACAAGGTGCGGTAAAAAAAATATTATCTTTTGCGGAGACAGCAAGAATGATTACCATTAACACACGTCTTCTTTGGCAAATTACCATTGGCCATTTAGCCTGGAGCAGTGTAGTTGTCAGCGTTGCTGTCTACTCATCTGGAGCAATGTATCTTGAATGAATGCTTGATTAGGGCCCTCTGAATTGTGGATAGGCTGCTGAACAACATCCTGAAAGTTTCTGGACCCATCAATCCCATCGCTACTCGTCTTGTATAGATTCGCTCCTCCTTTTAGGTGACACCCCCACACGCGCGCACTCACTCCGTGCTACAGGCCACTACAGCACATAGTGCATCTTGCACATGACCCAGACGGCGGCGAGGCCACAGCCCACAGACGTGTAGTTACGTGGCGTGCTTTATCTTGATTGGTGAGGTCTTGACCATTCGCCTCGGACAGTTTCGATCGTATTTCTTGATTGGTGAGATTCGGCATTCAAGCCGATGCTTGTATTTATTTGCTCCGATTCGTCATGGTGATCGAATGTATGGCCTTCCTGCTTTGTTTTGCAGTGCCGCGAACGAACAGCTGAGGAGAGGACAGGGAGAGACGGAGTGCAAGAGACCAGCCCTGTGCTCCCTGGAAGTGCATGAACTAGTCAGCTACTAGTACATGGAGCAGACGCGCACGGGCGGTGCCGGTGAGCAGCCCAGGGGGGCTCCCGGCGAGGAACCTGCGAAGAGGATCATCGGCGCAGACGTGCCCGCGGCGGCGGCGGCGGAGTCTGGCTTTGGCTGCTTCGACTGCAACATCTGCCTCGAGTGCGCCACGGAGCCGGTGGTCACGCTCTGCGGCCACCTCTACTGCTGGCCCTGCATCTACGAGTGGCTGCGCCCCGACGCCGAAGCCGACGCCATGAGCTCGGCGAGGCGGCAGTGCCCCGTGTGCAAGGCCGCGGTGTCCCCGGACGCGCTCGTGCCGCTCTACGGCCGCGGCGGGAGCTCCGACGCCAAGAAGCCGCCGCGCGGCCTGGCCAGCATCCCGCGCCGCCCGGCCCTGCGACAGAGCGCGCAAGACAGCCGCGGCGACGGCGGCCACCACCATCGGCACGCCGAGACCGACGCGCCAGCCCGGACGCCGCGGCACCCCGCCGACGCCCACGCCGCGCAGTTCGACGCCCTCCTCCCCACGCCGTTCGGGGACCGCGGCATGATGCACTCGACGGCCGGAGGGATGCTCGGAGGGATGGCGGTGGCCGTCCTCCCGCTGGTGCTCCGTGGGCAGGCGCAGCCGCCGGGCATGTACTACTCGGGCACTTACCATCTGATGAACCCCAGGCAGAGACGGTTTCATATGGAGGTAGAGAGGTCCCTGCATCAGATATGGTTCTTCCTCTTCGTGTTCGTGGCGCTGTGCTTGCTCTTGTTCTGATTTCTGAAGCAGGGCATGAATGCGCGCCATGTGACGTGCTCCGTACATAGTAAAGGGTTGACGGTGCGATATGAATATGATGCGGCAGTGACGTATGTGCGTAGGGTCATGTAAATGTAATAGAGCTTTGTGGTTGCATGACGGCGTTCAAGATGTTAAATTGAAAACCAGCTTCTGAGTTCTGATCCTAGAAAGAAGAAATCGGTTTCGAAACTGCAAAGGACCCTTGAGGTATATCAGAAACCATTGTCCACATGTTCATGCGCAAACAGTAACACATAAGGTACTGGTAACATAGAGCCTCAGATCAATGTTTCAGTATCTAACTGTCACGCTACCATTTCAGCCCTTTGATCACTTGTGTTCACTATCTCTGTGGTCACCAGCAATGCAGCAATTAACTCGAAACGTCTGCAATGTGTGCACAAAAAGAATGCCATTCATGGCAGCTTACATGACTCCCTTTGCCAAAAGAACAACAGCACCTTGATTCAAAACGGCACTTAAGATGTATTACGATCTATGATCATCTTCTGTCACGTTGTGTCACGCCACCTTTGTATACATGAACCTATCCCTGCTGATTTTCCACCTGATTAATCCGGATAAGGATGTTCCCAGAGCGGGGCTCTTCTTCAGTCCAATGGAGTGAATTCTTTTCCACATACTTCATCACCTATCATATTCAAAGTTCAAACAGTCAAAATCGTCATCCTCAGGTGAAGACCTAAAACAGCATCAATGTGAGCTACACAGGAGTCTGTTAAACATAGAATTTTAAGGCATTCTGTATGAATGCCACATACTTGACAGAACATCTGATTCTGGAAAACCTCTATACAACGCATCCATGTCCATTCAATGGAAGACAAAGAAGGGTGAAGGCAAAATTGCATGAAACATCAATCATGGTGAGTAGACAGTAGACTTACACCATATACAATACCTGTATATTGACTATGCACAGATATATGCTAAAGATTTAGCATGTTTTATTTATTCATTTCCGTGCTACAAAATATGTAATGTTTTCTTGACACACTTTGTCTAGAGACCTATTCTCTATATAGCTATGGGCAAGAGGGATCGAAATGAAGAATTTAATAGGATACTGTACAAAGTGCAAAACAGAATGAAGTATAAAATGTTGGTATGAAGCATTTTACTAATATCATAATAAAGTAGGAGTTTTATGTCAATATTAGTATTTCGGATGAAAACTCAAGGTGCAACCCAAGGATTGACTTCAAATCATGCATCCAGCTAAGCAGCAGGTATAGTGCAAAAATCAGAAGTAATAGTTAGCTAGCAGATTCACACCTTTCTTCTTCTTTGTCCCATCTTGAAACTGCCGTCATCAACACCAATGATAACTTTCAGATAATCAAAAGCTGCAAACACGAAACATCAGAGAAATAAGATAATTCCCAACAGAGGAACTGATAAACTCAAAAGAGTCATGAACCAATATTACATGGAATGTTTGCCAACTGTTTAAGATGGAGTCTCAAGAGACTAGAAACATTTGCTGCATCTTGTTTGCGTAGATCAAGACAAAATTCATTTTTTGACTCTGTTTCCCTGCAGGAAGCCGATAACTTGATCTTATAAGTACACATTCTGAGGCTACAAAAAATAAAAAAACAGTCCAATAATTCCATTCGACATAAACATTACACTTACTTGGGCTTGATAATCTCCCCAGCAGATTTCTCATCAGCCCATCGAGCCATCTGATAACAGCGCTTGCCCTTGATATCCAGAGAGTATTTTAGTTAGTAATATGTTTTCTTGAATTCTGGTCTCTATGTAGCCATCATAATAAAACAAGCAGACAAAACCTTCCAATGTTTTATGTTTAATAATTATGACCACAGTCACATCATTCACTTTTTATTAGAATCGTGTAGCTCTAAGGTATTAAGCAGGCCAAAAAAATCTTCGACGTGTAATCTCCACACATTATCTTTCCCCCAAAAAAATAAAGAAGTGTGACACTTACTTCCTGTATAAGATAATCGACTTCTTTCTGGTTACCCTCCCTAAAAGCATCAGCAGCCTGCAATTTCAGCAGAACATAACACAAGCAATAAATAAACACAATATATTTACTGGAAACAAATTAAACAAAGGACATCATATGTGTTCTCAAAAAAATCAACATCATCTTGGAACCACCTTCTCATAGTACTGTTTCATCATATCCCAATGCTGCTTTGCAGCCCTGCGGTAGTTCTGGTATTCCTCCTCATTCACAGATGGTGCTACATATAAATCCAAACAACTCAGAATAAGTTAAACATTTCGCTATGATACATAGTACAAACATAGGCTTTACATTTCTTTAGGGGATTTCATGCTAGCTGTTTTATCTCAAAAGTTATCAACATGTTGCTAAAAAAACATTTAAGCTCTTGTTCTGATTCGAGACACATGTTTTGTGCTGTAAACACAAGCAACCTTAATACACTTTGAGAAAGCATAGAACACATATTAGAACTTGCTCCAACGTCCGTCCCACAAAGAGTGTCATTCTGGTTTTGTCATATGTCAAACAATCATAAGTTTGACCAAGTTTATACGAAAACATATCAATATTTATGATACCAAATAAATATCACTAAATTCATCATACAATAAATTTCATAGAAAATCTATTTGGTGTTATAAATGTTGATAATTTTCTCTATAAACTTGGTCAAACTTAAAATATTTTGACTTAGGGCAAAACCAAAATGTCACTGCGATACAGGAGGTAGTATTTGCTAAGTTCCTCCATACTTCAGTAGAAAAAAAAAAGCCATCCTACATATCCCACAGTTGTAACTTGTCATTGGAAAGTATGAAATTTGTTTAGCCAAAGCCCCTGCAGATAACTAAGCGTTCAGATAACATTTTGTTACGATATCAATACTCAACTGGTTAAATACGCAACAGGTAAGAAACAAACACTAACTTTACTTTTTCGTACCACACATTGCAAGTGGATGGGCATGTAAATGGATAACACATAAATTCAGTACAAAATGCAGATACAAAGAACTAAATGACTGAGAGGATACATATGTTGGCTTTAATTGTGCGTTTAGAATACGTCGGCATAATGTTTCAAGCCATCGATAAGGTTGTATTATGGTTGGTTTTATCTGCTCACTTTAAAGATCTTACATTGTTCATCTTCAAGTCTATACAGAAAATGTGTTACAGGCTTCACTGAATATGTTGGCACAAAAGATTGAAAATGTAGAAAAAGCAGCAGACAACTGGACAAAGATTTTGCACTCAGTATGTTCGTATAAAATGTATAATAACCTAAATTCTGAAAACAAAGAGAGCACTAGTAAGCTGAGTATACCTTTGCTACCTAAGATAACTTTGATGGGAAACTCAGTAGAATATGTTGAAATGTCCTCAAGAGGTTTCAGGACTGGTTTCTGATATGGGACTCTGTTTCGATTTGCGCCTAATTCATATCGTTTTAATTTTGGCTCCTCCTCCAATCGTTCAGGTACAGTGAAGATTGCTTCTATCAACTCTCCTGGAGAAATCTTTGGCTTTGACCTCTGCGTTCCCTCTGTTGACTGCGAGCCTAAGCATCTTCCCTTTGGAACAGAACATTCTACTGCCACATCCTGCACCATCAATATATTACGGGCCAGAATCATTCAAACACCTATACCAAACGAAACAAATGCCAAATGCATTCAAATGAAAATTCATATGTAAACTAGCACAGTAGAAGTTGACTGGGTGAGCTACCATTTAAAAATTAAAAGGACACAAGAAATTAAAACAAAAATAACTCACGCGGCAAATCAGATACCATGTCAGGCTAAAAAGGGCGGACCTAAGCGATATATGCTAAAGATCAATATATCAGCACAAGAAATGGTGAACACTGATCAATCCAATCTGGCAAAAAAGAAAGAAAGAAAGAAAGAAAGAAAGAAAGAAAGTAAAATGCTATATTCAGGGTTCAGGTCAACAAAACACCAAACATGTAATAAAGAATCAAAACATGTAAAGAACAAACAGTCCTCAAAGGAATTCAGATGAACATTACAGAGTGATTAACAAGTTGCACATATACAGGAGTACAGTTCAGAAGTATACAGGTGAAGAGGCAGAAGTAGTCTTACTTTTATCACGTTATGTTTGCTTTCTGCCTTTTTGTCTGGATCTTTTTCAGAAAATGACATCAATTCCTCCATGCTCTGCATACAACAGCACAGCTCTATTAGTAGGCCAATAAGAAATGAAATAACAAATTGAAATATGTATGCACAGCTATATTAGTAAGCCAAAAGGAAAATGTATTAACAGATGAAACTATGTCCTATAAACTCTAAATGATAAAGCCTAAATGTTAAACCCTTTCACTCATTTGCGACAGTTGGGAGTGGCAGAAAATATATAATAAACAACAATTACATCAGTACCTTCTTAATATCATATCCACAGCTGCCTGCAAAAGGAAATTTTAAACAATCAAGACATTTCTTGGTATATGAAATGAATGGGCGAAAATACAGGTCAGATAGAAGACATGCTAACCTAGAACTTCACGGATCAATTCCATACTGAGCTTAAATCCTTCACCAAGCATGCAAAACAAAAACTCCTCAACATCCCTGTCATTCAGAGTCTCTCTCCTTGGTGCAGAGTCAGATTCATCAGATTTCATCTTAAAATCATCCCGCATGTACTCAGGCAGTTCAACCCTAAGAGGTTTGTCTTTTTTTGATGCTCTACTCGCTGTTGTTGTAGCCCTGGTAGGTTCTTTTCCTAACATGCTGGAGACAGTACCAAATGCAGCACTAGACTTATGCAACTTTTCTGGCATTTTTGTTTGATCTGAATTCTCGATATGCTTTTCTTCAACTGCCTTGTCAGTATGGGAAAGGTTAGTCTCGACACTTGACTCAACATCATTGATATGAGGCAACGAAAGTTGAAGGTCGGTTAAGAAATCTCCAGCTTTGTTGGCATCGCCATTTGCTTTGATATATGCGTCAGCTATATCATCAAGTGAAAAGGCACAGCTGAACACATCAAGCAATGTACTAAGTGCCCTGGTTTCATCGTCACTGGATGAAGTCATCGCATGGGACAGATCCATGGTGAGGACCTTCGCAAAAGGGAACCTCTTATGAACTGTCAGACCTGCCCAACAAAAGAAGTGTTCGTCACATGATAAGTATGACACAGAGTGTAGCATTAGCGTTATCACTTATCAGCACAAGAAACTATTGAGAATTGTGAACAACGATGGTTGAGTTGCTTAAATACATGATAAAGTGCCAATTTCATGGTAAACTGATTTATATACTACTCCCTCCGTTCCAAATTATAAGACGTTTTGGCCTTTCTAGATACATTGCTTTTACTATGTATCTAGACATAGTGTATATCTAAGTACATAGCAAAAGCTATGTATCTAGAAAAGCCAACATGTCTTATAATTTGGAATGGATAGAGTAAGACACTAAACAGGCTAACAAACTAAGCTTAGCAGAAAATGTTCAATAGGGTCTGATAAGCTGTTGTGTTTCTTAGTTCTTTTAAGGTATTTTTTGGTTTGAGAAAATGGTACAGGAACCACTTGTGCATAGGTATAATAGCAAAATTGAAGGTATCAAATAGACTCAAACCACTCAGTGCAAAGTACAAACTATTTGCCTCCTTGAAGAATTGACATGATCTTAGAAGTCATCACAGATAAAAATGAAGGGTCACAGTAAAAGCATGATAAGCATTCCTCTCAACACATTCATCAACTAATCGCACATTAACGAAAACATTATCGATGGAGATAAATACTGCCGAAATTGGTATAGAAATAGAATAATCAGGATCAGAAAACGGCAGATAGAGTTGCCTCCTGAAGTAAGTAACAGGACCGGTAATCAAAATGTTAAAACAAACCCAAATGTAAAATTGAAAGAGAAGGGATAAATCCAAGCAACATGGAAAAATTGGATATCACTTTGTCAGTTTGTCTCTGTATGGTTCAAGCACAGGTGAGCAATAAATTCCTAGTGGACAGATGATCATCACACTCCAATGCAAGTGTGCAAGCGATGTTGCAGTGCAGCACTACCCACTCCGTAAGGCCTAACCTTACCCAAACTACAAATACACCCACCGGAACAGTCAAATAAGAGAGGAATCCGAGCATCAGAAATACTAGCATGTCCGAATAGGGTACGCAAATAACCAACAAATGACATGTAACCACAGCTTCACACGTCTTCTTACAGAATTTGGGTCCAATAGTTTAACATAAATGGGGAAAAAAACTGTGACAAATCGAATGATCGATCAAGAGTTTAATTAACAAGGGCCGAATCAAAGCAGATAGAAACGACATTGCCAGGACTCAGCCTGCTTGGGCAGTAAAATTATTTACAAGTCACCCAGAGACGGAAAAAAAAAACACTAGCTACCTACTCCGATGCGCCATATAACCATCTAATCAGAGAACCCATGCCCAAACCCTTCAGTTTCGAACCAAACCGCCGCGGGTGCCATCTAATAAGAGAACCCACACCCAAACCCTCCAATGTCGAACCAAACGACCACGGGTGAACACACTGACACAACACGAGCACCAAAACTGAAATCGAGCGCCCGCTGGAAACTAAAATCGGAGAAATTACTAAACAGCATGACCCATCGACACCGACGAAGACCCCCCGCTCGATCGGAAACGAGCCGGCAACCCCGACATTGAACCAACCAAACACGGGACACCATGGCGGAGCAAGCGCACGAGATCAACCTCCGCCCCCAAACAAAGCAAGGCCGCAGTGGGGTTCGACCGTTCGAGTGCATTCTAGAAGATTCTGGAGGGAGGGAGGGAGGGGCTTACGGCTTCTAGGGGCGACCCTCGCCGCACGCGGGCCGCTCCACTGCGGCACTGCCCACTCCGCCTCCGCTGCTGCTCGCCGCGGCCCTTTCCGGTTGGTTTCGCGTGTACGCCGGGGATTTAAAGGGAGAAGAAGAAGGGGTCTGGCCCACCTGGAGGTGGTGGTCGAGGTCTACAAAACGAGGTGATCCAAGCCGTCTGTGCGCCTGCGTCGGGAGGGCGGAACCGCGGAAGGCATTTTCGGGAATCTGATGGACCCCATCGCGGTCTACTGAATTTGGATTTTGGAATCTAGGTGTTTTATTTGATAAATAATATTTAATTCGGGACTGCTTAGTTTTTATTTTCGTCTACATTTAATGCTTTGATAAGCGATAAACATTTGATGTGTGGTCAGAATAACTTTTTGGATTTTAGGGTCCAACCATCCCTTTTCATTCGCTTTCGCTTTTTTTGCCGCTGTTCGTACTGTGATAGTAGGTGATAGCTGTCATTCGGTTTGGGTTCACTGTACCCACGGTTCAGTTCACATGGAAACACGAAAACACGTTTAGTTCAGTTTTACCCATCCCATCGCATAGGCAAAATATATTTAAAAAAACTAATCGAGAAAATCGCAAGAAATAATTATCAGTTATTTTCGCATTAGAACCAAAAATTTCACGAACTAAACGTGCCCTAATCAAAAAAAAAGAATTGTCAGTTATTTTCGCATTAGAACCAGGGATGTCGATAATGTCCCGATCCTTGGACCGGCGAGAAATTTCTAAGCAGAAGACGGAGTTGCTAGGTCGACGCCTCAAACTTGGGTGCTGTTTGGAACTTTGGATTTGGATAACTAAGGGACCTTTCAGTTAGGCTAAATCCTGGCCATGACGGTTCCTAGTAAGGGCTCCGTTCGGTTAGCCGATATTATGGGAGGAAGTTTTCGGACGTGAAAATCTTATATAAATTAATGAATGGTTTCGGGCCAAAATTCTTCTAGGGGCTCGTTCCTCGTGAAGCGAACGAGACCTTAGGGGTGATTCTCGGAAGGAATTGTTCCCGGTGAAAGCTCGCTATAAATCACCCAAGCAATCCTAGCCAGAGTGATTCCAGGCCATGAAACCCCAGGAACCAAAGAGGCTCTAATGGTTGGCTGTATAAAATACAACAACGTTCCTGGCCGAATCGGTTCCCGGACTTGATACCGTGCACCCTAAAGGATTCTAGAAATCTGGATTATCTAGTACGAAGAGGATTCTAAGATTTTTAAAACTTCGAGGGGTAAGACTTAAGAATCTGCTTCACTATCTTACCTGTTTGGATAGGGCACAGTTTTTTTTTAAAAAATCAAAATCCCAAAATCTTTAACCTGTTCAAACGGACCTCCTTGGAAAAGAAAAGGGATTCTGAGACTAGGTAAGAACAAGGAGGATTCAGTGAGGAAATTTTCTGTAGAGAATACAATTGTGATGTTTACATGCATCATTTGCTATTCAAGAGAGGTACTACCACTCCGCCGTGAGTGCGTTCGCCATTGATATACAGCCTAATCGGCAGCACTCCTCCAGTTGTAGTTGCACTTAGTACTACAATATAGCAAGTAACAGTGCATTCGTGAAGAGAGCACACCTGCAGCAGCAACTGAAGTAGTGCAGCTAATCAAGGCTATAATTTGCCAGGCTGATGAGGACATAAGCAGCGGTTGCAACATACTCCCTCCAATTCTCGTTGTTAAGAAGTCAACTGATTTAAGCTTTGACCAAAACTATATAAAAAAATCTAGTAATAATTATGATACAAAATAATTACTATTAAAATAATTGCATAATATATTTTTATTATAAATTTATTTAAAGATGTAGATGCTAATATTATTTATTATAAATTTAGTTGAATTTTAGCTAGTTTGACCGAGTCGGAAGTCATAATTATTTTATTTTTACGGAGGGAGTACCACTGTACCAGAGTAGGAACTGACTCGTAGTCTCGTACGTGTGCAGCGCATTCGGCGTGATTGCACTGGTCACTGGAAAGTGACGAGGAACGGATCAATTTCCGGTGAAGTTCTGCACAGTGCACACATAACGTGACACTGCTATCTCAGTTTACAGCGATTTTATACGATTTTGATGTGCCCATTCAATTCATTGAGGAAGTGAAGGACAAGGAAACTTGGCTTCAGTCGTAATTAGATAGCACTTTCCAGCTACCAAAGTGTGCAAAAAGGCAGTCCTCCATTTCACTTACATAATTGCAAGCATCTAGGTGGCAACATAATTGCAAGCATCTAGGTCTTTGGTTTTTGAGAGAAAAATCGGCAACATACATAAAACAGCAGACAGTATACATAAAACAGCAGAGGTACCTTGTTCCTGAACAGTGAGCTACAGAGTATTACAAATGATCATTTGAGTTTGCATTTTTTTTTCAAAATGGAAACAGTCGTTGATAGCTAACATGAACGATCAATACAGGATTATAGTTTAAGCACCCTATAGTTTACGGTGCATAAGTCACAAGTTACACAACCCATGTACCAAGGGCACGATAACAATAATAGATTAAGTTACGAGAGAAAACGCAGAAATAAGTACTGCATGAGTCCATCAAAGAGGTGCCACGCCTTTGGTTCCCCAGCCGCTCTTCACCGGAGCTCCCATTTCCAGCCTCCAGGAAGCATGCGGCCCACACCAACCAATCAGACGCTCTCTCTACAGTTTGGAGAGGGGCTACCTGGGACATAATACCAGGTTTATCCACTACTATACCTGCTTATCTTCTTCACACACTTCTTTCACGCAACATCAAACTTCACATAACAATGTGGGCCTCCGAATGACGATATCTAAGCCCAATCGACCACCTCCCGGGCTGATAATACGCGGCCCGGCAGGCGCCCTCTACGCGAAATTGAGCCGGGAGGTGTAGGTGGCCTTGGGGGCCCAGTTCTTGGGGATGACGTCCTGGGCCGTAAGGGTCTGCTTGCCGGACAGGGTCGTCAGCCGCACGGAGAAGGGTCCGACAAGCGGGCCCGGGGTGAGGCTCCACGTGGCCCCCCAGACGTGCTGCATGTCTCGCCACTGCGCCGAGTTGGCCTGCGTCCACATCGAAGGCCAACTTCAGTCACTCCAAATAACACCGAAGACAAAAAGAAATACTTTTCATTTTAGTAATTACTCCAATAACAGCTAGAGTAATTAATAAGCACAGAGTTTGACAATGCTGGTACAGGCAGTGGGGACAACATTGCTTGTGAGACCAGAAGGACAGGTTCATGTTAGTACCCACATGATGGAGTAGCACTGTTAAAAGATACTAGAATTATTGTACAAGCAGAAGCACACACTGTGGTCTGTAGGGAAAAAGGAAGAGATTATTATTAACTCCTGACAAAATGAACAGGGGCATGCATGTGTAGCTGGCAACCCAGCTGCTGCCACTGTCGCAGGAAAAATAAACCGAACTGCTGTGAAGGACTTCTACTGAAGTTCTTTGGAGTTGAACCGATAATCATGTTTTTGGCAAAACTAGTTAGTACTGCAATTTATTACCTTTATTTTGGCGAAGATACTACAATTTATTACTAATAAGGTAACAAAACTCTGACATGTGCCGTACCACTAGAGTTGACGGCAAAACGCCGCAGACAGTATCAAGTTAGTCAGCTAAGGTTATCTTCAACAACACCACCCAAAATACAAGACCCATTCGTCCTTTGGATAGCGCTATAGGCAAAAGGTTCAATACATATTCGACATCTTCTCCAACAACAAGACCCAAAAGAGAATCATTTCTACAAATGGGTTTCCGGACTAGATGATGCCCATATTTGGGTTATGCCTCTCAGGCAATCCAAAATAGGTCTCCGTATATGTACTCTGTTGGAGGCTGATTTTGGATCTCTCGCTACCCATTTTAGGTTTGAGTGTCCATATAGGTTTCTTGTTGGAGACACTCTAATATAGCTCCCTTTCCTAGCCGCGGTGTTGTTTGTGTGACTGAGAGAGGGCATACATGCATGTGATTCTAGAACCCTAGATGACACATTCCCACCAGCAATGGCTAATGGACGCGACGGGACACAAAAGGGAAACAGACAAAAGCCTACAACATGTTCGCTTGATCGTATTCGGCTTATAAGCCATGACTTATCAGCCAACGAACAATATTTTTCTCTCACACCAAATCAGTCGACAGTACTTTCAACAATGACTTATAAGTCAAACAAGCCCAAACAAACGTGGCGTTGCGGCGGCCCACGCGTCCAGAAAACCATGGCCCATGTCCCTAGCCGCCTGTGAAAAAGCGGGGGATCCCACTCACATGCTGGCATGCTGCAGCACTAGCACTGCCCCACAAACACCCGCATGTCCGTCCCTATGGAAAGAAACGCCAACACCTTCCCACGTATAACTGAGGAAAAAGCCCTTGTTGCACTGCACCGCTATACGCAACCATGGTGCCGACGTGCCGTGGTCGAATGGAGAGAACTGTGAAGGAAAAAACAAGCTTGCATTGATGTGTTAGTGTTATTACCTGTTTGAGCTGCATGGATCCGATGTCGCCGTCGCCGTCCTCGAACTCCACCAGGAGGGAGAGCCAGAAGCTAGTGGAGCCCTCGTTCACGTGGAAGGCGATGCTCTTGCCCCCGTACCTGCACGCCGTCCTGCATGCATGCATACAAACACCGGCGGTAAATTTATTAACCCCATCCGTCGGTACGTACGATTCCCCGGCGGCAGGTTACTCCAAAGCGCACGCGACAGCCAACGCTCAACGTACACACGGTGGTCGTTGCTAGCTCATTGTAAACAACTGTGGCTTCTCCGCTTCTGTGTGCATTCCATCGCACGCCATGAGCGAGTACGGACAGTGTGAGCTCTGTCGGCTGTCGCACATTGATTTCTGCTTGGGCATGGCGTGCCCACTGTGTTCTTTGAATTCAGCGAAGAGAGGGAATGCATGGCATGGCCATGGCACGTTCCGAGATCCAACTGCTACTGCATCCCCGGCCCCCATGGTGGTCCTCATCTGACAGCGTCACATTTTTAACCTTCTGTCTACCCTCCCCCGGACCCCGGTACCACTGCCGGCCAGCCGGCCAGGAAGAATGCAGTACTGTGGAATCTTTTTTCGTTTTGACAGAGTTCTAGTGTCCGCGTTTCTAGTAACGTCAGAAGCAAGGCATAATGCAGTTCGCCCGCCCGATACGGTTGACCTACAACCGTCCTCTTCGCGTGCTTTTACCCTTTGCAGCATTCATCTCTGCCGTACTACATAGTACAGTTGCCTTGATGACCAGTAACAACAGATCTGCGCATGCATGCATGTTCAGCTGGTTCAGCGTACCTGCGGAACACGACGTTGATCTCGCCCCGGTTGCGCAGCTGGCCGCCGGCGCCGGCCACGGCGAGGCGGCCGAACGCGGCGCCGCTGAGGTCGAAGTGCGTGCGGCCGCCCGCGCAGACCCCGCCGGGGCACTCGTCGGTGACGATGACCGTGACGGCGCGGCGCGAGCAGATGCCGTGGTCGAGGCACCGGACCTTGTAGCAGGCGCCGCAGCCCTCACCGGACTTGAACAGCACGGGGCTCACGGCGCCCACGCGCGCCTTCATCGGCACCACGTCCACCAACGTCCCGTACCCGCACGCGCCGCCTGGTGCGTGGTTAATTATTGTTAATGAACACGGTAATTACTATTGACAGTTCCGTACAGTACATATATAATGAGCTACAAAAAGGTGAAACCAGCGCGGCATGCACGTGGACAGAAGGTCCTAGTTACTGCGTGGCCAGATCTAACCAACACTAGCCAAACGGGCAACAGAATATTTGTAGGGACGCAGAGAAATGCAGCTAGCTCTCAAGTATGGACACGGCAGCAGTTCCGTTGAGAAATGATCGGAAATTGGACCGTTCCCACACTGGTTCACATGGTCAGGGTAAAATAAAAAAATAAAAATACTGAAATGCAACCTGGCCTCGTTGTAATAAAAAAATATATATAGATGTAATATTTGACTTGCAAGCGAACTCAGTACTCTCGTCTGTGCACTCCGCAGTTCATCCATTGACCATTGTACTTGTACGTAACAAAAGCTATACGGAGTATATAGTACTCCGTATATAGCAGTAATATTGGACTTGCAAGTGAATTCACTTCTATATATACATGCCTGTCAGTGTCAGCCCATTTTGTACGTGTCAGGCTGAAAATACGTCGTCGATCGGAGTGTCGGTGGATTAAACCCGACGCGATACGGTTGTTGGTTCCTAGTAAAAGCGGCGAGTTAAGGACCCGACACAGTGGAGCACGACCATGGCTATTGGCTACAGGCTCCATTGCCGGCCACCATCCTACGCACGAATCTTAAAGGCTCTCTCCGCTTGACAATATTTGTCTTTAATCTACGTGGCAAGCCACGGTCCTTGCTCTATCGGACTTCAAGGGATACGCCGGCCGATGTAACGCCAAAATGTGGCAATGGGAAGAAGTATTTACTTGGAAGAAAAAGAAAAAAAAATACTAGTCATGCTGCGAATCGAAAGGTTAAGTGTAATGCTTACTGCTCATTTACAGCAAAATAAAAAAAAGGATCACAAGTTTGGATGCAGTGAAGGTGCAAGTGCAATGCATTCGCCATTGTTAATTCTTTGCATAGAGAGTGTCATCATATACTCTCTTCTATCCAGGACGAAGGAGGTGGGAAATGAGAATTGAGCATAGAGCCATGGGGGTATATATATTACCGTCGCTGCCGTCGCCCTCGGCGCTGCCGTACCAGGTGGCGGTGGCCGGGTGCCACTCGGGGTCGACCACCCTGTGCGCCGCCCCCGAAGCCTCCACGGAGCCGAAGAGGCACGCGGCGCACACGAGCGACGACGCGAGGAGCGCCGCGCGGATGGAGAAGCCGCAGCAGGCGGCAGAGCAGCTCGAGGAGGCGCCGGCCATGGCGCGCGCGCGCACGTACGTGAGGAGCAGAGAACAGCCGCGGCGGCACAGCCAGGCAGCGAACACCCTACCGACACTCTTGCTGTCCTGTGCAGAAATGGCCGGCCTCGCTCAGTCGCTCGAGTGGTGGTGGTACTTCCTCCTCTCTCTGGGATGGCTTTTAAGGCTTCGAGAAGCCCCAGTCCCCGATGTGCTGAGTGCTCAGAGTTGCCCCCCTGCACAAATGGCGGGGAAGCCGGGAAGGGACAATGGGAATGCACGAGTAGGGTGCTAGGGTGGTGGTGGGCTGTGCCTGGACTTATAATGTGGACAAGGGCAAGGGCCGTAGTGAAAGACAGCAGCGTTTTAGCTTTTCTGCATGGCTAGCTGTTTGATACGAGTACAGCCCAGTCCCAGTGGCATCCGGTTTCTGTTTTTGCTATGATGGAGATTGGAGAGCTCTTGGCCTTTGCCATGCGATGAGGGGTGGCCAGTGGCCTTGCTTGTTGGTGCACGTCATGGTTTCCATAGGTTAAAGTTTTCACTAAAGATAAACCACTCCATTACTTTTAAACAAGTAATCAAGTGGTATTGACCTCTCCAAAAGAATACTACTCCGTGCTTTTATTCGTTCGAAAAACATAATATTAATTTTGGACACCAAGATGATCAACAACACGTAGATTTCATCATTTTTGTGAAACAAAGTACAGGTTACAAACATTCATATATATGCGCTCACTCTAAGAACGTACGCAAGCACACTCTGCCCGACCCTATGAGTATGGCGTGTTATCGGGTTTTGAGATTGACAAAGTTACCACAGATAGTGAGTCACCACAATCTTCTTGTTATTGGCGGCTATGTCACGTACTACTAAAGGAATAGTGTTATTTTCTAAATAAAAATCTATAAAAAATTACGAGCATCCATGCCAAATCTAAAACTTAATCCTAGGAATAGTGTTATTTGAATAGTCTTTTCTAAAATTAATCATGGCGGCTAACCGATATAAATCTATAATTAAAACAATCGGTCTAGCCAAGACTACACCTCTCTATATATGTTCAAATCTAAAACTTAATCCTAGTGAGCTGCTAGCTTCCTAAACAATTCTAAAACAAGTCACACAACCAACTAGTACTTGTAACAAGTGAGTTACACATGCTAGTAAGCAAAAGCACGAGCTAACTAAGCTCACTAGCAATGCTCAATAACAAGGCAACCAATGCCTAATTAGAGAGCCGCAAATACTTAGCTACAAACAAATATGTGACTAACAAGGTTACTAAAACCAAATTAGTCACGCACTATTACTTGATGCTACACAAGATAGAAGGTAATTAGCTAGCTACTCTATCTAATTACAAGAGCAACTACTTTATTAAGATATATAAAAGTAATTGCAAGCTTGTGTAATGGGGATCAAACCAACATAAGAACAAGGTTGACATATGATTTTCTCCCGAGGTTCAATAAATGCTAGTCCCCGTTGTGTCGACCGCTCACTTGGTGGTTCGGCGGCTAATTAGCATCACTTTGAAGAACCTACCCCTTAAGTGAGGGTAGCTCAATGACACGCTTTACTAAAGTTGCTCTTCATGACTCACGGGCGAGCACAAGTAATGCTCGCTCCGCAAGCTTATTCGAGAAAAAAAACAAGCTTCTTGCGTTTGAGAGGTGGCAACAAGTAACAAGCACCACCGCTTGCAACACGACCACCTAGTGCCACTGAGACAACCTCATTGCAATCATTAAGAGGTCGAATGATCACTATCAAGTATATGTGTGATGGAGGGCTCCCAAGCACTCACAAGCATGGACAATCCCTTGAGAGGTTACCATGGCCGAGAACTTCTATTTATAGCCCCAACAAACTAGTCTGCTACCCCTTCATCAGGCAACGCCGAAACGCAAGCTCTAGAAAGAAAAAGGACAGCTAGTTAATTCCCGGACGCGGCAGAACCGACCGGAGCGACAGAGGTCGAGCAGCGACCTTAAACGTCCGTCACACTTAATCGGCCAGGTCCCTCCATTGCTTCTTAAATCAATTGTTCCCAAACGGCGCCTTCAAATGTTGAGGGGCCAAATCTCGCGACTAACTAGTTTTCATCACCCTTGCTCCAATGTCAACCACAAGAACAATCCAAAATTAGGCATTCTATTTTCCGAAAGCGCCGAGAGGGATAAAATCTCACCCTACCACCTCCTTTGTAAATGTGCCAACACCACCAAGTGTACACCACTATGTGTATATAGTTAGCATTTTCACAATCATTTCCCAAAGGATGTTAGCCAACTACACACCACTCGATCCTAAGACAATCAAGTTAGATTTTTTGTATAATGAGATATGCAAACAAGGATATTTCTTTCTCGCCATCTATCCTAAACCGGTCATAAACTCACACCTATGACCGATTGAAATGAAATGCCCTAGGTTATACCTTTGGTTCCATTCCATCTCCTTCAATGTCGATGCAACACATGCACCAACACGATCAACAATGATATGATCCATTCATCACATTCATTTGGTTCATCGATCTTGACTCTACTTGCTCTTCACCGTTGCCATCGTTATCGGGTCTTGCTCAAGCTTCACCGCCACGCGTCCATCACTCCAAAGCCTTTGACTTGCCCTTCACGCTTGTGATCAAGCCAAGTCTTGTCTTGATCTTCTCCACCTTGATCACATGACTCAATGTCATGTCTCATTGCAATAAGCTCCTTCATCATCACATGTGTGAGCTTTGCAACATCTCCAAGTCATTTTCACCTCCATGGCATATGTTGCTCATACACATGTACCTGTGGACTAATCACCTGTGTATCTCACATAAACACAATTAGTCCACCTAGGTTGTCACTCAATTACCAAAACCAACAAGAACCTTTCAGCTGGCTTCACCACAAAAGTGTTGAACCAACTAAGTTGTGCTTGGTTCGCAACCAGCATTATCTATCAAGCAAATAGGTGAAGTGACTATTTGATATTGTAAGATAGACAAATCTACTCATGTGCTGACTTTATTATATATTTTTTGACACGCACACTCACCCATATGATTATATGAGCATACAACCCTATTTCAATAAATGTAGTCAAATAACTTTGATACGCAGTGCTCTTGCGTATTCGAGAAAAAAAAAACTTTGAGATTGACAAGTTACACCTTTTTTTTCAACCGTGCCATGAGACACATTTTTCATTAAGAGGTGAAAGTGTAAGTTACAACGAGTTAAAAGCACGGCAATAGGAGGTTACCCCAAGAAATAAACATTTGAAAGAAACGCAGAAAGCAAGCTCTAGAAAGAAAAAGGACAGCTAGTTAATTCCCAAACAGAATTCAGCGACAGAGGTCGAGCAGCGACCTTAAACGACGGTAACCTGCCAGGTCCCATTGCTTCTTAAATCAATTGTTCCCAAACGGCGCCTTGTTGTTGAGGGGCAAAATAGTTTTCTTAAATCAATTGTCAATGCAAAGTTAGTGGGGATAAATACTACCTGTGCACCATATACAAAGGTACCAGTAGTAGTTTTTGTTTTGGGGCCCTACATATAATAAGCCAAGATTTTCTGTATAAAGAGCGGATATTTCTTTATCGATACGAGTCCTCATGCCGATTGATGAGCCGTATGTTTGGTTTGGGAGCCACGTTGGATGGGTGGGATTCATTCCACTTTTTGGGGTTGGGTTGAACCCACCTCACGTTTGGTTAGGGGGATGGAGCCATTCCAATTTGTTGCTCGGTGTGAGGGATTGGTTGGGTTGGAATGGATGTCATTCTAGACACCGTGAGCTGCTGTTAGACATAGGATCCAGCTGTCAGTCAAACTTCCATCTTCTTCCACCTTCCTTCAAACAGAGCACTGCACAATAGACCACCGCCGTGGCCCAGGCTGGACTCGCGCCGCTACCAGCTCCCGTGGCCCAGGCCGAACTCACGCCGCCATCAGCTCCAGCGCCCTAGGCCAAACTCGCGCCGCCGCCAGCTCGCCCCACGCCGGCTCGCCCCACACCACGGCTCGTCGGGATCTCAGCGCGCTGCTACCATGGCTGGGGCTGGAGCTTGCCGCGCGCCGCCATGACCGGAGGGCCGAGCTCGCTTTCGCATCCGCATCCGGCCGCTACCGCCTCACTGCCTCGCTTAGCGGCAGACGACACTCAGCCCGTGCATCCCGAGCTCGCTTTCACCGCCACCACCTCCCCAAAGACCACAGCGACGCCACCTCCACGAAGCGCCATACGGCCAAGCCGCCCTACGAGACGGAAGCAGAATGACATCGATGTGGGCTGAGCTCGTCCCCTCGAATCGGAACCATTCCAATCCGCATCTGAGGATATATTCCCTTCTGGGTTGGATCCAAACCCACATGATTCCTCACCCAAACAACATATCATCTAGGACGGACCCGGATATCCCACTTGAACCCGCAAACCAAACACACGGGAGGACTCTCGATCAACTGCCGCACCCACTAAAAAAATGTTTGTGATTAAAAAAAGTTACCCCTACGTACTTCAAAATCAGAAGTAGAAGATGACGAGCTGTGCCATCCAATATGGCTGCGGTTCCAAGACCTTGAAGTCCGTTGGTAAAGGCGCGAGACACAGACGTACCCAAACCAACGGTATACTCGTATATCATCAAGCCGCACGCATGAATCCACCCAGATCCAGATTCCAGAATGGGATGGCAGGCAGATGGAAGCATGGACGAACGCCCCAAATCTGAGTGCAACATGATGTGATTGGGAAAGCACGGCGTGACGACGCTGTGGATGGTGGCGCATGCAGGCGCGGCCCAAGCTCGTGTACGGCCACCGGGCCAAGCACCTGTGTCGACACGCTGTTTTTACCCTCCTCCGAGGCTTCCGACCCGTGACGCACCCATCTTGTCAAGTTGCGTCGCGGTTTGCCCCCTTCGGCCGCTTCCCCCCTCCCCCATGTGCGGCTGCTACCGTCCAGAATCGGCGACGGCGCGGGGTTGCCTCTCCCCCGGCCCGCCCGCCCGAACGTTGCCGAGCGCCCATGACACGTGGGGCGTGGCGGCCGCAGCGTCGGTCATGGACTCGTGGCGCGGGTGCTCACGTCGCGCGGGGTGTTGGCCCGTGGCCGGGTGCGGGTGTGGGGTTTGGTTTGCGCGAGTCGCGACGCGCGCGTTGGTGGCCGTGGTCCGGTGGTTGGTGGGGGGCTGGCCGCGGGAGCGTTGGAGCCGGGGGACGTCGGGGCGGGCTCGGGTTAGGTGGCGGGTCGATGTCACCACCCCCGACAAGGGTGTTGTTCGTCTTGCCGCCGGGCTCGAGACGTGAAGCTGCCGCGGAGCTTGGGCAAGCCCTATCCTACACAGCCAGCTGCCCGTGCACATACGGGAACGGGGGGAGTATAGTCGAGTGAAGACGGTAGGTAAGTGAGGGTACGTTTGTGGTGCCTACCTGTTCACCCCGTGGAAAAACGATCGGGCAAGCGGCAACAGTGTTCCAAGAGATGGTGTTCCCTACGTATCGTATTAGCTTTATCCTAAATTAAATATTTATATCTTTAATCATTGATCTTTTTAAAAAATATATATATATATAGTTTCATGATATAAAATTTATGTTTTTAAACTCATTGTGAGAAGTACTTTCGTAATCTAATTCACATATCATGAAACTATAAAGATTTTTATAAATGAATGGTCAAAGATAGCAATGTTACTTTAGGACAAAGCTGATGTGACATGTAAATAAAAACGGAGGGAGTAATAGCCATCTTCTCGGAAAGACAAAGACGGTGTGGGACGACAAATATGGTATGATGCTTTTAGAAATATATTTTTACGCTATGAAAATATAATCGTTCTCGAAAACTAAGATGTGATCATGTTTTAACTTTTACGTCTCCGGCTGCTAAGCTCTGTAGCATCTTGCCTGTTTAGTTGTACATATTTTGCTCTTGGCCTGGTGGAATATAATATACGGTGCGAACTGAATTGCTAGTGGTAGCATGCATATGTTACCGCCCTACCAGCTTTTATCAAAGGGAATGAGGACCAATTTACAATGCCCACTCCATTATTTATTCGAATCGTTTACTTTAGTAGTTTATTATCGGTTTGCTTTTGCCACTGGCATTATTGGATAAGATTCGTGCGATCGTTATGCAGTCATCCGTTGAATAAAAAATTCCTCTGTCTAATTATCGTTCAATGCTCCACGCCCCTAGGGTTGGATTATTACACTTCCCATGCCACTGATTTTCATTGCAGGCTAGCAGCTGCTGAGCATTCAGAAATGGAACCCTTTCATGATCCTTCTTCTAACCTTTAATTTCGTTGGACGCATTGTAATTTAGTTTCTACCTGGCCCTGGCCCTTATAATCTGATATCAGAAGAACGGCACCATCGTCCACTACTGCTAGTATACTGCATTTGTCGGCAGAGATGGCCACGTCCAAACAGCACATGTTCTGCGACCAGGCAATTGCGTTGCATGCAGCATCGCAGCATGCTGTTCATTCGATCCGAAGAAAACTTTACTGGTGCATAAGGGAAAAGACATAAGGGAGTCGGTGCTGCGCAGTTACTACTACGCCGGACCCCGGACGGACGATGATGCATGGCAGCTGGTGCGCGTGTACTCCTATTTAACTTGCTGTCAAAGGCATCGTCAGAACCCAGAACGACGCAGCACAATGAAGGCTCAAGGCTGCACCTGCATCTACAGGCCCACACCATCATCGAGCTGAAAGCTCTCCAAACTCCCAAGCTTCTGGAATGGAAGTGCCAGCAGGTTGCCTCCATTTCCATGTCCTCTGTCCCTGCTAGCTCTGCTTTCGTGGTTGCATTGCAAGCACGGTTAAGATTTCTGGACCGAGCCACTAATAAGCAAGGGAGAGTAAATGCGACAGCGGCAAAGTTGTTCAGGCAGCTCCCTTAATTAAACTCGGCAAGGACGACGTGAGATGAGTGCAAACAAATGGTGGTGGTGAGTTCTCCCGCGAAAACAGTGAGAGCTTTCTTAGAGAAGACGACACTACGAAGGAAGGAGGGTCCCCCGCGTGAATCCATCCATTCATGCCGTACGTGCTCGGCCCGTCCTTTTTCCCGAGCACGGCGGCTGCACGGGCGGCTAGCTCGAAATCGATCCCTGTGACCCTGCCGTGTATCCACGTGAAAACCGAATGATGCAGATGTTTCGATCTGATCGTGGACACTCGAGGAGTGGAGGGCTCGTTTTCACAGCGTTGTTTCTTCTATTATCCGAGATGAGACGGTACTTCGTGTGAATTCTGACGGGTTTCCACAGCAGCCGGCGGGCTGCTTGAGGCGAGCGCAGTAGTAGCGCTCTGGCTCGGGACCTCGGGTCAAGGAGACACAGCTGGGGCGATTCCCTTTAACCCCCCTTTTTTTTTTGGTTGGGAAAGAGGCAAAGAGCAAAAGAGCGCGGCGCCGCGTGCGGCGGTGATGAACGGGTGCAGCGGCTTTTGGCGTGCTTGCGGCACGGCAGTCACCGGCTGATCCGCGACAATTTGACCGGCTGTGCTCAAAAGAGGCACGGTGTGCTCACTTTCGTCTCACTAGCTCCTGCGATCTGAAAACGCCTTTGGATAGATACACAAGGTCATAATGCGGGCCCTTCGTACGGAGCGCAAGAAATGCTCATGTTGGAGCAGAATGTGGTGCACAAACCCGAAATGCTCATGCTGGAGCGAGCAACTAATGTGGGTTATCGTTGTTGAGGTGCTAGGTAATGTGGCCGATGATGGCTCTGATGAGGAAATAAAACATATGGCTTCGGGTTTGTTGCAACTGATGGAGAGTTTTGAATTTTGTGCTTATTGTACAACCTATGACTAAATTACTGGACGAAACTAATGATTTCTCACAATGCATATATAAGGAAAGATCAAAGCATACATTGCTTGTGTTGTAACTTGTAAGGTTGACTGGGCCTCGTTGTAAAAAAATTAATGAGATACATGATAATGGTTTGGTATTTGAGGAGGTAAATATCTTTTTGTCTCCAGCGTAACATCATCATATCAAATATGGCTTACACAACAACAATTAGTTGCCGCTCATGTGGGTCTAGAAGGAAGACTTACTCTCTCCATTTGTCCATTTCAACATACGAAACCTTTTTATTAATGTGGTGCATGACAAATGAATTGAACAATCACTTTGATCAAAGGTCTATTTAGTTATTGAGATGCAATGTTTGTCTAAACCTAAGAAATTCTTCTGCCAGATATTATAAAGGAAAAATAATAATATAATTGGCTAAGATTTATGATGCTGACTTTTTGCAGCAAGACCTTTTAGTCATATATAGACAACAAGTTGATATATTCATTGCTGATGTGAGAGATTATTTTAGTTTTGCAAATTTTCATAACATTAGAAATCTTTTAAGCACGCCCTACTTAAGTGTGTAGGTTTAGCTCCACATATATATACTACTCCATTTGTTCTAAATTATAAAATATTTTGGCTTTTCTAGATATATATAGTTAAAGCGATTTATCTAGAAAATCTAAAATATCTCTCTTAGAAAGCTAATCCCCATTAGAAATCTATCTCAACATGCAAGCCATCCACATCATCTCCCACTAATAGTCATGTCATCCCACTAACTTCCACAATTAATACAAGCTATTCACGTCATCTCGACTTAATTTCATTTCAAATTCTTTGCAACCCCTCAACAACGTGTGGGTATCTTCTAGTATCTTATAATTTGAAATACATGGAGTATTATTGATGAAGATATAAGACACGAGAATAAACTAATTCATCATTAGTTAGATCTTTTTCTATCACTGTCTGTATGCTTTCATCTTATTCGTTGCACGGGCACTATGTGGTGTGGTATTTCAACGTGCCAACACATGTTGAGTAAATACTTTCTCGGGAATATAACACTGTCATTTCTGAGTAATTGTTTTTTTAAACTGATTTCTGAGTAATAAAAATACTCTTTTTCTCAGAAAAAATGGTATGTAATTGAAATTTCAAATAGCCAGTCTTGGTGATTCCCCGGCTTCGCCACTGCACAAAAGAAGTGAGAGCCCACGATCCACGGGGCCGTATTGCGGCTTCCGGCCTTCCGGGGAATCGATATCTTGGGCCTTTCCAACTTCTTTGGGCTAAAAGTGCTCGTCGGCCGAGTTCCAGCTCGCTCTCGTCGAAACAAACTTTGCACATCTTCAGTTCGAATTTGACCGGGACGGATTGACACGGAAGAATATAAACAACTACCAACTGTCTAAGCGTTGGAGATCTTGATTCTTGGGCGAACATGTGCTGAAATGCAGATCGCTACCTATCTGCATAGCACCTGGGACTGTGGCCGGAGATGCTCCCGGAGTACGGCGAGGACGTCGGCGAATCTCACTACCCCGACGAGCGCGCCGCTGGTCTCATCAGCGACCCAGATGTACCCTACACGGTGCGCAAGCGCCTGGGCCATGACGGCCACAAGCGAACTCCCAGAGTGGCATGCCACCACGTCCTCCGTGGACCGCCACCCGAAGCTCCCAGATGACATCCTCCTTGGGCGTCGTGCGCGTCCCAACGGCGACGAGTCCTCGTCGGAGGATGATGTCGACGACAACGACGACGACGGGGTCAAGGTAAGGGAGGCAGCGTCCTTCCCAGCGCATTCCATGAGCCCGGCCATGGCGTCCAGTCCCTTTCCGGCGAGCTGGGCTCTGATGGCGCGGACCAAGAACTCCGGCGGCGAGTGCGAGAGCGAGCAGTCGATGTACGCCATAGCGTCGCCAGCGGAGAGCGCCGCGAAGGCGGCCGACACCGTCGCGACGTCGCACGAGGCGAGCACGCCGGGGCAGATCTCGCCGATCAACGCGCTGTCGTCGTCGGCGACGACGGCCACGGCCGTGCCGTCCGAGACGGCTCTCCGCAGGAGCGGGATCACGTCGAGCCCGTCGTCGTCGACGTGGACCGCGTGCACGTCGCGGCGGACGAGGCCGAGCGAGGCCACGGTGAGCGCGGCCACCGGGGAGAAGTGGGAGATGGAGCCGAATAGGTGGCGGACGATGTCCTCCCGTGTCAGCACGCAGCAGCAGTCGGCCGTGGCCAAGGCGCCGGCGCCAGCGGCATCGGAGGAGGGGACCTGGTGGTGCTGGTGGTGCCTCTTGCGGGCGCGCGCGGGGAGAGGGACGAGCAGGCCTTGGCAGCCGTCGGTCAGCAGCACGTCAATGGCGTCCAGCAGCCTGCAAAGTTTGACCAAACAGTATAGCCGCCGTCGTTAGTATAGTGTCCTCGTAGTCAACGACTGAGAAGGAGGAGGACTCGGAACAAAACAGGAACCAGAAACGACGGCGCGCCGGCTGCGTCGCGTACCTTGTCTGGGGGTCGACTCGGTGGGTGACGCCGTGGCCGGCAGCAACGGCGGCCGCGACGACCACAGCCACGGGGCGGCCGAGCGCGGCTGCGGGGTCCCTGAGGTTGCCCGCGTCGCCGCAGACGTAGCAGAGGATGTCCGCGACGCTGACCTTCACGTACACCGTGGTCGTCTTCGCGCGGGAGGCGGTCGGTTCGGCGTCCACGAAGACGAACGGGTCGGCTCCGGCGGTGCGTAGCGCGGCGAGCGCGGCCGTGATGGTAGTGGACGGTAGCAGCGTGAGCACCCTCGGCCTGCCGATGCAGAGGTCGGAGACGACGTGGGATAGGAGGGTCGCCGCCATGCACGCTCAGGTCGCTCGGGGGACGGATCGCGGCGGGAGAGGGAGCGAAGACACCTGCTGCGCGCGGAGAAGAGAAGGTGTGTCCGTGTGTGTGCTTGTGCAACCGTGTGGTGTGTTGGAGAGCGCATGAGCCAGTGCAGGCTATTTATAATAACTGGCAGTGGCAGAGAAGACGAACGTGCTGGCGTGGTGTCCGGTGGGCAGTGAGTTGTAATTTTGGAACGACGCTGGTGTTTGGCCGGTAGTAGGTTAGGTATAGCTGATATGCTATATCTTTATCAATCTCTGATAATGTTCTTCGATCGGTTTTATGAATACCTTGAAGTATGCCCATGCGTGAGGTGGAGAAATATACATTGTTACTGTAGAACATGAACATCCCATCTTACCATGACAGATTCACAAATTCACAATGTGCCCATATATCGATCATGCCGTCATCAAAATCGAGGTAATTCTATCACGATCAGTTGGACGAGACGACGGTTAAAAACAGATAGCGCAGCTGAAGGTCAATTGATAAAACACCGTCAGGTTTCAGTATTCAACCATGCACGCACGTGGTCTCACACACGGCATTCAGGCCCTTCATTTACAGGAGCCCCCGTTCGGCTTACCCATATATTCGGTTTGTTCGGCTTGTTTTTTCAGTTAGAATAATATTTTTCTCTCACAACAATTCAGCTAGAATATTATTTTTTCAGCAAGATTCAACAAGCCGAACGGAGCTATATATAAGCGGACCTAATTCTTTCGTCTTTTATGCATGTGTTGCTTTGCTTATACACGTACGGAAAGCAATGGAACAATTATATTGGTTGAAACTTGTTACAAGCACTTAATTAAATACTCCATTCGTCACGACAGATCCGCTGTCTAAACAGAGGAAAGATGCGCCTGTCCCCCCGAAACGCATTAGCCTCCAAAACCCCAAGTACTGAAAGCGCGATACAAAATTCGGCGGCACGATGAAGTTTGGAGAGGAGGATGCGGCGTCTTCGAAAGCGGCCGAGCCCTGGTGCCATGGGACACGTCGGCGAGCCGTGCGGGGAACAGCTTGGCGCGCCGTACGTATCGAGACGGCCACCGGCGGATCACATGGATGCGGTTGGAGTTGGAGGGGCTTGAGCTGCCGTATCGCTACCGCGACGAGAGGGATGGGACGGCGGCGCCGCGATGCGAGATGCCTTTATCTTTGGCTCGGCTCGGTCCCCGTTCTTCCACGTTTCCACACACACACCATGCCTACTGACCCGTGAGTTGTACTGGAGTATATAGGATCGGAAAATAGTAGCCTCGTAGGCGCTTATCGCCTTCCGCGGAGCTTCCCTTGCCTTCGTGTTCAGTTCAGGTTCAGGTGGGCGGCGTGGTATATCGTCCGTCCAGTCTCCGAGAGCGAGAGGTGACAGATAAGGAGCCGTGCTTCTCCCCTGATCCACCTGATCCGTGCCTCCCGTACGCAAGCCCCCCCAGACGATGATGGCGCGAGTACGTGCAGCAGCCACGCACACGGCACATATTGACACAGAAGATGGACGATGGACGATGGGAGACGACGAAAGGCAATGCCGACCAATCTAGAACGGGCCATCATATGGAAACCCAATTCACGCCGCTCGGTAGGCCCGCCCTAGGAAGACCACAAATCCATCCGATCCATTTTTGGTCAGCAGACCATTTTGTAACTGGGCTATGATGGGCCCATGCATGAGCACCATGACAATTGGCCCGCAGAAGGACGCACAGGCACAGCACCACAGTTCCAACTTCCTTTCCGTTTGAGATCTTAAACTCTTATAAAGTAAAACCCCACTGCCCTATTTTTCTCATTCCACAGCTCTCCATGTCATCGTTCCCTCCTGGCACACGCATCTACCTCCACCTCATGACATGTAACATAAATAGCCCATCGGGAACATCACTTGTCTTCAATTTCCATTGCCACCTCTATTGTTGTTGGGACACGGTTACGAGCCGCGGAGGCTCCAAGGATCACAGTGGCGCTAAGAACTAACGATTAACCATGACTCTGTGAGCATTGTGCAGGGAAAAGGACAGAACCTCCGCCTGGTCGGGCGCCATGAGCGAGGGTCCGGGAACTGCGACGAAGGCGCCCGAATAGGGCCCAAGGCGAAGGCTCGGGCGATACCTGCGGAGGCTACAGGAGTCGGCGCGAAGGCTCGGGCGAAGGTCATTCCGGGCGGAGGTTCCAGGAGCCGGGGGCCTTCCCGCATGGCGGCGGTGCCGGGCCGTGGGCCGCAAACGGACTCACGATAGCGGCCCATCAAGCAAAGGCGGTTAAAAAAGAAGGTACCCAAAGTACCCCTCGTGGGTTGTATTAGTATAGGAATATTATGAGGATGTACTGTAACCAACGAGGGGTAGAATTGTAAAGAGTAGCCTTAGCAAGCAGTGCCCTATAAAAGGGGGACCAAAACTCTGTACAAGGTGTGGTTTGATGAATTTTTGAAACCCTATTCAGGCTTAGGCCCACCATCCGCTTCTCATACCTTCGCCCAGGGCATTCGACTGGGCGAAGGCCTTCCTTGTCCCACCTGTTGGAAATCCCTTTTTCCAACAATTGTTAACCGATAGCACGAATAATTTATTCCTAGTACTTGGTGTCATTAACTCAAGCATGCTTTATGTAGAATCCTTTTCTATTCTACTGCTACATGAATGCAGCATGCACTGGCAATTTATTTAATTTCCATCCTGCCTTTCTATTATATTGCTACATTCTTGCCGCATGACAATTCATCGTGCCTTTTCATGGTTTACATTTGATCTTCACATTCTATCTACTATTACGCATGCAACATGCAATTCCACTCCTCCACTTCCTCCACTAACGGATGTCCATCTGCCATTATTTTCCACTATAATACTTCATTCAGCTTCTCAGTCTATATATACAGTGCTACACACAGAAGAAGGGGACAAACCACAGGCAAATGATTAGAGCTTATGTTTCTTCTTCATGTTGGTTTCAGAGTTTTGAAGGTGTGAGATCGATAATTCTACTTTTGTGCTGATGGTTCATTTTTTCACTGTTGTTTCCCTGGGCCAAAATTAGCACAAGGAGAAGTACCTTGCCCACACATGTTGCAGCATGTCGGGAAGATTATGATAGATATGTTTGTAAGAGTTTTCAACAGTTAGTGTTTCTTCCACATATTTCAATAGTTAGATATATTGCAAATATTTCATAAGGATGTTGCAAAAGCAGATCGGGATGTTATATATGTTGCAATGGTTGTACACGTATGTTGCAAGCTTCTGTTCCCAATGTTTCATCTATTTTTTCAGACGTATGTTGCAAGTGTATTTATTTGGATGTTGCATATGTTTCACACATATGTTTCAAGAGTTTTATCTGGATGTTGCGTATGTTTTAAAATGGTTTTGAGGTGTTTTTGCAAATGTTTCAGATGCATGTTTCAAGTGTTTCATCTGTCTTAAGACGTATGTTGCAAGTGTTGCATCTGAATATTTTCAAAAGTAGATCGGGTGTTGAATCTTGCTCCCTTTTCGTCTTCGACTGCCTCGCCTCGGTGTCTCCACCTTCTCTTGGCATCTGCTGGGCATCTGAACCATCTGAACCAGAGGCACAGGTGGGCGCCGCCCCCTCTCCTTCTTCTCAATGCTTGGGATGGTGGCGCGGTGGGAGACAACTTCTCCAATATTGCTAGCTTTTAGCATTAGCTTTTAGCATGGATAAACCCACATGATATTCTCACATAACCTTAAAATGTGTGCAAGAGCATAGCTCTTAAAGAAGAGTTAGCTTTTCTCTCTCTTCTATTAAAATATGGAAAAAATGTTTAGAGCTAGCTTAAGAGTCAATTGTTGGAGCTGCCCTAATACATAATGAGGGAGGTGACTTCATTTTTTTTTGCCACAAACATTACTTATTAGTAGATTAATTTTAAGTCAAAACCTTGTCTAATTGTAATGAAGCACGCCATGTAATTTCAAACAAAGGGAGTATTGTTAGGGCCTCTTTGGTATGGATTTCCTGGATCCGGCTCCTACTGACATAACTAATGTAGAGTCACTGTAGATTAAATCTGTTTTTCTCTCTCATCTCCTCCTCTCTCACTGACACGCAATGAGCTCTAGTGAATAGTAACGCTCTAGTGAAAATTGCAATGGGAGCCGGAGATGCTAGAATCTAAGGACTTATTTTTTCAAATGAAAGGACAATTCCTGGGCACTCTAGTAGCGTTTCAACCTTGGTTGGTTATCTTGCCAACTGAATCCTGTGTTGAACATTTATGCTACGAAATCCCATCCAATCAATCCCATCTTGTTATTATTAACGATCACAATCAGCAATCAGCAATGAAGTTAAACTATGATACTGTGTGGACGGAAGAATCAAACGTACTAGTCCGACATAAAATTTTAAGATGAACATGCATCGCCCTTTTTTATAGGTCATATCAATATATAAAACCCTCTCATACTCTTATATGGTATAGCAACACCCCTTCTAATCTTTTTTTTTAAAAAAAGATGAACATGCATAGGAGTACTGTTTATTTCGTTCCAGGGATTGTGGTGTGACGGTCAATCAAGAGTTGACTAAAAAGAATATAAAAAAAGGGGTGGTCAACTAAAAAAACCTTTGCGGCTGGGAATTTCGGCGCGATCCAAATGTGCTTTTGGTTTCTCGCCTAACGCAACATGCTAGATGTGGTGAGGGTCCAGCGCGCCTTCTGTCGATCACTCACTCACTCCATGCTCGACTCCTCGGCGTCGACCGTCGACTACTCGCTCACCTCGGACTGTTCCTCCGACGCCGACGCCTCATGGCCAGTTGTCCACCCAGCCATGTATCAGTAATTCGTCGCTTCTCTCAGCGACACGTCCAGATTCCAGAAGAAGCAACAAGCCAGCAAACCGCCGCGCGTCCCGTCCCGTCCACCACTCAACACTCATGGCCGCCCCACTTGTTTATATGTCATACTTTTCCACCAAAAAAAAAAAAATCTGTCACAATAAATCATCACTTTCATGCCACAAGCCCCCGGTGCCCCACCACCACACTCTTTGGCTTTGCCGCCATAAATTCTGGATTGGCCCCTGTCAGTGCAGCTGCGGTGCAGAAGAGGAAGGACCCTGCGTTGGCCGCCGCCGCCGGTACGGACGGACATACACTGCAGGTGTCGAACACCACTACAGCTACAATCTACAGTAGGTTGCTGCACGGCGCTTTCCTCTCGCTCCCATCCATGCCGATTTAATGCCTCCGGTCCGGGCTGCCGCGCAGCGCTGTGCTAGGGAACCCATCTTCTCCCCGGCGCTGCCTGCTCGAAGCTTGAAGATGGCGCTGGTGAGGCGGTGCCTCTGTGGATCCGAGGAAGACTTCAGAGGTGCGTAATCCTGACTGCCTGCTTCATCGATGATGCTTTGCCGTTTGCCAATATCTTCTCTTCCTGCGGTTCTGTTAATGGAAGTTCAGGAATCCAAATTAAGCTGACTTAGTTTTCTGAACAGCGCTTTTAGGCATGGAAAATCTCAGGCTGTTCTCCTACGGGGAGATCAGAGCAGCTACAAACAACTTCGATCAGAGTAACAAGCTTGGCCGAGGTGGTTTTGGAACTGTGTACAAGGTAAAAAGACCCAGGATATTTTATTCTTTCCAAATTTACCTACAACTAGCTAGATCAGAGCAACAAGGTTTCAGCTGAAACAAATGTGCCTGTTTTTGCGACAGGGGGTTTTGAGAGACGGCACTGAATTTGCCGCGAAGGTTTTGTCCTCGGAATCCGAGCAGGGGATCAAGGAATTCCTCGCTGAAATCGAGAGCATCTCTGAAGTGAAGCACGCGAACCTCGTCAGGCTGCTGGGCTGCTGCGTGCAGAGGAAGAACAGGATCCTGGTGTACGAACACCTTGCGAACAACAGCCTCGATCATGCACTCAAAGGTAAGTGAACCATACAATACAATCTGGAACCACTGCTACTACAGCTGTACACCCATCGCCATCGGAAGCTGGAGCCGCATTATTCTCCTCACAAGATGCGCTTATGTATATCTTAGCTTTAGGTTCAGGGAACGGAGCCGCAGCAAATCTGCCCTGGAGCAGGAGGTCGGACATCTGCGTGGGCACCGCCAAGGGACTGAGCTACCTGCACGAGGAGCACGAGCCCAACATCGTGCACAGAGACATCAAAGCCAGCAATGTTCTTCTCGACCGAGACTACATGCCTAAGATCGGAGATTTCGGGCTCGCAAAGCTGTTCCCAGACAACGTCACCCACATCAGCACAAGAGTGGTCGGAACCAAGTATGCTGTTTGTTTGAGTGAAGCTGTTACCGACACTTGCTTCGAAATCGAAACAAACAATCAAATTTACTAACTACTGACAGTGATTAGTCTAACTCTCTGGCTGCAGTGGATACTTGGCACCTGAATATTTCGTGCATGGGCAGCTGACCAAGAAAGCCGACGTCTACAGCTTCGGAGTGCTTGTCCTTGAGATCGTCAGCGGGAGGAGGATCTCGCAAACGATCCAGTCGGACATGTTCCTGGTGCGAGAGGTCAGGCGTCCTTCCTTCGTTCCCTGAACTCTCGTCTCGGTTCTCCGTTCACGTTACCGGCTTTTCTGTACTGATGAATCTCTCGCGTCATTCGTGTGCTTTTTTTTACAGGCATGGGAGTTATACCAGCAAGGCAGGCTGCTAGACATTGTGGACGCGAGCATGGGGAGCTACCCGGAGAAGGAGGTGCTCCGGTACATCAAGGTGGGGCTGGCGTGCACGCAGGCGACGCCCAGCAGCCGCCCCACCATGCGCCAGGTGCTGGACTTGCTGTCGCGTCCCGTCGCGCTGCCCGAGACGGAGATGTGTCCGCCGAGCTTCGCCGAGCACCGCGGCCACCACACGGCCCCGGGAGGTCTGCCCGCCGGTCCGCTAGTTCGTGCGTCGCCGAGGGCGAGGTGGCCGCCGCCGGCGGCGGCAGCAGCAGCAGCGCCCAAGTGCTCTGCGTCGTTCACGTACAGCGAGGTGGCTCCGCGGTAGCCAGCAGTGGTGGACTGGTGGTCAGAGCAGGCGCGCGACCGGTAATCCGGCATGTAACTGAACTGATAGGACCGTGTGAGGCGGCGTTCGTTGTCCGTCGTGTAATCGTGTTGTGTAGCAGTAGTAGTAGTATTGCGTTTGATTTGGATTTCCTTGTCCTGTTCGTGCTTGCAGTTTGGATTGGGTAACCGCTTAGTTTGGGCCCAGATGCTCGTTGGAATTTGAGCTCTCCAATGTTAGATGATGTAAGGCACTCATTTTACTGAAGATACCTACTCCATGTGACAAGTCCATGCACAATCAGAGTGAGGGGGATACAATCAGAAAAAAAAAAGTCAAAAGAATTACAGAGGCAAATTCCCAACCTTCCAAATAACGGGGACCATATGTTACACCTTACACAGATGACTACAACATACAAATGACTGCTTGTCCGCTACTGGATTCGTGCAACCGTCATGGAGATTGCCTGCCTAGGCTACAGCTACAAAGATTACTATATCAACGTACTGATAATAAGTGATACTAATACTGTCAAGTACTCAATTCTGTGCTACAGTACATTTTACAACTTTCCTAAATAAGTTGGAGTGGAGGTAATAAAACTGGCTACCTGCTAAGACCCCGAGCTACAGGGGGTTTAACTTTCACCTGAACCAGAGCAAGGGAAGAAAAAATTGTCTAACTACAGCACCGCTCTATGATACATGGAATGAAATGGAGCTGCGTGACTGCATCAACCCCTGGTTCAACCATTGAGGGTCTGTTCGCTTGATCTTATCAGCCGGCTTATCAGGTAGAATTTACGGTATTTTTTTTTCACAACAAAACAGTTGCAACCGGCTTATCAGCCGGCTTTAATGCTAACCGAATAGGTCAAGGATTATGCCAAGTTGACAACATGGGGCAACACTGGTGAGTGGCAATGAAATTCTGCATGAAGTTATGGCCACCGTTAATACTTCACAGTTTCTTGGCCCTTCCGTAAATATATTCGTCGGTACTGTCATGTCAAGTGGCGGCTTATGACGACCCACTAGACAACGAACGGTCACCCGATTGGAATTGAGAGAGGGATATTCCGACACGCTACAGTTCTTTTTCAGGAAAAAATAATTTCCGCCTGTTTCTCTTGTTGGACGTGCGCCCAGCCCATTATTTTTTCGCACTGTTTTTCTCTTTTCGCAAGCTCAGACGCGCGCGAACGACACGGAAAATGAAATCTGTGCTGTGACGTCATCTGACACAAGCTATGAAAAAGCAAAACATTTATTTCAAATTGCTATAACTTCTGAACGGTGTATCCATTTTTAAGTCTGTCGCACCGATGTGTTCTACGTGACGAGACGAAAAACACTAGACATACTTGCATATGTTTGAAAGAATTTTATTCTAGTAAGAATTTATGTGTACTAACTTAGAACATATAGTTTATATACAAATAAAACACAACTTTGTACATAAGTTATTAAACATAAAGGAACGAATTAACTTATAACTTATGTCAAAACTTGAAAAATATAAAATTTATTAAACCCAAAAGAATGAATTAACTTATAACTAATACCCAAACTTAGAAGCACAAAAACTATGAAACACAACTTATGTACAAATGTTATCAAACTCAACTTATGTATATAAGTTATTTTATACAGCTTGTGTACATAAGTTATTCTTTACATCTTGACAACGCTACCAAAAAGAAATTAAAAAGAAAAATATATGTTTTATAGCTTAATTTGTGTTTCATAACTTTTGTGTTTACAAGTTATGTGATATAAGTTAATACACATAAATTGCTACTAGAATAAAAGTTTGAAAGATATGCAAGTGGGGTCTAGTTTTGTTCGTGTCGTCGCATAGAACACACCGGTGCAGACGGAATTAAAAATAGATACATCGTTCAGAAGTTATAGCATTTTTAAAGTAAATATTTTTTCTTTTTTTCAGCCTGCGTCAGCAGTGACATCACAGCCAGGGAAAGGAGCGGGGGAGGGGGCTCGAGAACGAAATTTCGGGCGTCACCGCGTCGGTCTGTGTACCTCAACGAGACGGAAAAGGAAAGGGAAACACGACAGAAAAGGAAAGAGAGCAGTCGCGCCGCACGCGGTCTGATAGTTCACCCAATTCCAAAAGCGCGATCGACCGTTGAAATGGAATTGGGGTGAAAACCCCTTCTTCTAGTTTGCCAAGGCCTGAGTGGGCGGCGGCGGGTGGCGGAATCCACGGCCACAACGTTAAGGGAGCCATCATCTGCATAGAGCAACCGAATATGAGGGCGTGGGTGCTTATGAGGCGCGGGCAACATAGTTGGAGAAATAGGGGAGGGCAACACGCCATGTGAAGAGGGGATGAGAGCGCGTTACTAGGCATGCAACTTGTGCAATCCGTTGTGGCACTTACTTAACTGAGCACATCGACGACGTTGGCCATCGGAGCCCGGCAATGGGAGCCGGCATGAAACAGTGTGGGTGGAGTGGATCCCTGTGGAGAACCCCTAAAAGCTTTGTTTTTGTTCCAAATGTAAATTCCGGAAAAAAATATGGAAGTTACTTGATCGATGCCATCAAAGTCGATATCTAAGCTAGAATTCTGATTGCTTTGCGATCCACTGGTCATCTTGGAACCTTCCCTGGAGTTCAGCTCATCTGAACCTCTTGTTTTAGCCGTTCAGTTGTTTCTTTTTCTGGCATGTAGTTTTCTGGTCGCTTTGGTCAAGAGAAAAGTCTAGCACCCTCATGGGTCTGTCTTTTCACATTGCGTTTTGGGTGCATCATAGTCAGATGTGAATCTATGTTTTACAAACTTTGTCTTAATTTTGCAATCAGTGGCAGCGTCATCAACTAAGCATTCACCAACATCACGACGAAGGGCTTCGCCGTTGGCGACTTTGACTACAGGTTGGCGAAAAAGTAATCTAAAAAAGCCGATGCGTTCATTCCGCGACTCTCCGCCCAAAGACAAAATATTTGGGGGCGGGGGGTTTCGCGGAGGGGCTCGTTCCGCCGCTTCTAGCCCCCTTTGCTAAAAAAGGATAGGGTTTGTGCCAAAGTAATCAAAAAGTCGATGGGTTCATTTCGCAGCTCTCCACCCCATGTCAAAATGTTTGGGGGTTGTTTCACCGAGGGGCTCGTTTTGCTGCTTGTAGCCCCCTCGCCCCAAAAGGTATGGGGTTTGGCACCAAACTAATCTAAAAAGTGCCGAGGGGCTCATCTTGCCACTTCTCGCCCCCTCGACTAAAAAAGGTACAGGGCTGACACCAAGTGATTTTGAAAATTCGAGTATTTCTCTTCGTTGCCTCTCCTTGTTTTTGCAAAAAAGGCAGGACACCAAAGCGGTCATAAAAGGACTAAAGCATTGGATCCCATTAGAGCATTCTCCAAGAATTCTATCACCAGCTCTCGCTTTTGCTCCCCACTTGATCTTTCAAAGTTCCACAACTCACTATCTGAGTATTTGGTCAAGTTATGGCAAGGACCCACGCCACCGATCTAGATGTCACTAACAACACCTTTGCAAACATATCAATGAGCAACTTGACCATCGACTTTGGCTAACTTGTTGCGACCCACGCAAACCTATCGGTGAGGGATTTCACCCCGATTTCGACATCATCCACTATGCCTTAGCCACCAATTCAAGCACCGTCGACTATGCATCCGTCAATGTCTCGATAAGGGGCATCGCCAACAACTTCGGCGTCATCGCCAATGTTTTGGCTAGGAGCTTCACCATCATCTTTGGCATCCTGGACTTTGCTTTAGCCAACCTTTTGACGAGGGGCTTTGCCACCAACTCTAGCACTATCGACGATGCCTTCGTCGGCTTTTTGGAAGGGGATTCACCAACGATGATGGCATCACCAACAATGCCTTGTATAGACTAGAGTCGTGTGCAGGCTCTTTTCTTCGTGCCTTTTTTCCCACTAGGTTTTTGGGATGGAGTTTTTAATGAGGCACACACGTGTAGGTAGCAAAAGGTGATCTTCGTGACTAGGGTTCAAGTTTTATTTGCGCCTCATCTTGTACGAGCATCTTTTAGGTCATGTTGTTCTATCCATAGCCCAAAAGTTGAGGGGCTACTGTTGTGGGAGCCCATGAGGTATATGGGCCAATTCTCCCCTAGAAGAGGCCCAACTAGCAGCTAGCATAGTGTCACGTGAAATTCAAACCCACCAAGAGGCCACTTGTAAGTAGCCATTTCCTATATAAGTGCCTAAGGGCATGAGGGCAAGGGACCTCACCTCCCTCTCATTTCCACTTGTTCAAAACCCTAGTGCATCCAAATTATTGTACAATGTCATTGTACACAATTCTTTTCTTGTTTTCCACATCATAATTTTCTTCTATTTCTTTATCCATATAGAACTTTCTTATCATTTCTTGTTTTTAGTCTCACATAATCAAGGAAGGGAATGAACTAAAATCCAGTCAAATTTCACCTATAAAAGAAAGATTACTATTCCTTAGTAATGTATAAGAAGAAGGGATCATCTTTTTTAGGATAGGAAAATCTCGTCTATACGGTTCATTCTATATATATATAGAATCTTTATTTTGTTTTTAGTTAGGCTCCACCGTCGAGCTCTCTCCTCCCTCTCTCTCCTGTTCAAAACAATTAATAGTTCCAATGCATTATTTAACGTCAAGAGTCACAACAAAGCGCTATAACATCTTGAATAAGTTGACTCATAAATCACATATTGAACCAAGCAAGGATGAATGTGTTTAAATTTTTGGCCCACCAACACATTAGAATTAAGATGTTTTCAGCTGTGTTTGCTAACTGCATAAAGTGTTTTACAGCTCTATTCAGATATTTAGCAAGCCAAGGACAAAAACTTACGCGTAGCTCCAAACACCTTTCTGGGATAGTGACCTCCACTTGAGCGTCTAGGTCAGCCTCTCGAACCTACCATGGCAGATAGGGATTGAACCACATCCTCGGGGTAGACGGTACACCCAAGAACTTCTGCCGAATAATTTTTTTTGAGAATAAGT